ATTAGTTTATTAACGGTAATACAAGTCTTGTTTATGACTTAACGTGGACTTTTAAATGCTACTCTTTGAGCGTAGGCTTGTCTGAGTGTGGCAGACAGACTGATAGACAGGAGAAGAGCTGTCACGAGTGCCCTTACCCAAAGATCGACCTTTAGTGACAATCAATCCTCTGTGAGCGTGTCCTGGGAAGGCTAAAGGAATTATCAAGCTCCAGGTCCTTTGGCGTCATTTATCTAACAGCTGGGGTCACACAGGTCGTGCCCAAACAAGTGGCTCCTCGTATCTCATTATTGTTAATGGATCAGGTTAGCCCAGATGATTGATTATAAAATGGTTTAGAAAGCTTAGAAATATGTGATGCTTTCAAATTGGAGCTCATATGCACAAAATAGGCAATTACTACTGAGCTATTTTTAATTTTGGCTTTAGGTGGAGTAAGTTGCCATCTCTAATGGAATGGTCCATGGTCCACAGTCTAAAAACCTTTTTACTTGGAATAATATATGCTCAGTATTATGCCATAGTCTTTTCTGAAATGGAGCAAGTTACCCCAGTTTCAGGTCAGTATCCCCACATGCACGCACGGCACAAGGACTTCCCCAAAAAGCAAAAGAGATTGTGAGTTGTCCTTCAAAATTCCCCCCTGGGTCTTTTAGGGGTGGTCTTAACGCTACACCACAGATATCAGACGGCCCGATAATATAAAGTAAACCTTTGATAAATCAAGACTATTTTGTGCCTGTGTGACTTTACCTGGGGGAAACAATTGGCGGCTATTGAGGGCACGTGAATATAAGCAGCACCAACTGAAGTTAAAAAGTAAATCTATTTTATTGCATTGAGGCTACACTATAAGCTGTGGGTGTCCATGTTATTAATTATGTCCCTATTAGCTCTGTTTGTAAATAAATATCAAATATTAAATTGTAATCAGATCAGTACTTTTACAACAGCCAACAAAGCAGAAAATGTAGCAGATAGACAGGGATGCAAGATAAAACACAGGACATAGCTTAATTGACAATTATTATACCTCTTGTCTCATTAAAGTCCCTTTACCCGATGGCCAAATGTTTTTTTCTCTGTAAATCCAAGAGATCCACAAAACATTGCTGTTAATCATGTTTGAAAAGTCTGTTCAAAAGGAAGTTAGAAAATATATATCCTCAGGGTTGTCTCAAAAAATGCTGTTTCTGTGGATTTTTCCTTTTTTGTCTATTAACAGTAAACATGCATAAAAGCGCTTCTGGATTCTGAACCACATTTCACCAAGGATTCTAAAGAAATTGGACCACAATTGCCTTATTCTCTGTTCGCTTTATGCCTTTTTTTGTAACTCGTAACTTTCGTAATTTCATTGGGGTTCTAAACTGCTGGAGTCTCCTCGTTTCTGCAGATTGCCATTTTTGTCAAGTTATCTACTAACTAGCAGTAAAATGACCATTGATACCATACGGTCTTACACCAGGACTTTATTGGTTAGCCTCGAGGAGTATCTCGTCTTGCTGCTACAGCACCCCTAGAGGACCTAAACTCAGTACATTTCTAGATATTTGCTGTGTTTGAAGCTTGAACAAATATCACCTTATACAATACAATACAATTTATTCTTGTATAGCCCTAAATCACAACAGAAGTCATCTCAGAGGACTTAACAAAACCATTGAAATCACCAACACAGATCAGAGAATCAACAGTTAAAACACATAAAGAATATAGAACACATGTTGATAAATGTCATACATGTTGTAGAATGTTAAAGTGTCCTGGATCATCACCACAGTCCTTCTAGTTGGACACTACCTGCCCAACAGACCCTCCTGCATCGGCAAGGAAAAACTCATAAGAAAAACCCGTAAACAGTCTGTAAATGACAGTAACTGTTGACGTACAGTGCAGTACCTGCTGAAAGTGTATTTGTTTGAGAGAAGCGTCTTGTGTGGGGGTCTTGTGGCCCTGGCACAGTCAGTTTAATGATGTGTGCTGGTGCTCATGTGTGCACGTCCACATGTAAAGGGAGCAATCAGGCCCAGCTGTACCTGGCTGCGCTCGACAGAGCATGGCATTTGGCTGCTTAAAAAAAGCAGAAGGTTTTGATATGGCAGAGATGCAGTCATTTGGCTGATCTAATGGTCGCTCCCACAGGATCCATATCTATGTGCAAACACCAAGAAATACATCTAGCCCGATAACCAGCTGAATACATTATCATATATGAGCAACCCCCAGCCTCACCCTGGACATGGCCAATCTTTATTCAAACATAATCATGTGTTTTGTCAGCTGAGAGGAACACCTATAGAAATCAAATGCTCTTAGATTTCCAGGCGATCTGCTCCACTTTGGACTTTATTACAGTTGAGATGTTTCCTTTTTTGTCAAAATGCATTTCTGCAGGTGAATTCAGATCTGAAGACACATCCTCACCCAGGGGATGTCTCCAGCATGCTCCCCTCTCATCTTTCAAACACAATCTCTCCTGTAGCCTTTTATCTTAGCCTCTCACTCCCCTCCCCAATCACTTGTATGTGCAGTGTGGCAGCCAGCTCCTGCTGCTGTGAGCCGAGCTTGTTAAAGGAAACACTGGTGCATGGTCCCATCACCTTCCCCCTGCTCCTACTTTTAATTAGACAGCTGTTTGTGGGTGTGTACAACACTGAATGTGCACTCGGCATCTTCTACTAATTCTGAAGCTTGAGACACAATATTCATTGGGGCATTTCTTGCTTTTTTTTTCATTTCTCTGTACAGTTTTTGTGCATTTACAATGTGCAGTTAATGAATAGGTTTTTGTAAACTATCAGTTTCAGTGTATTTATTTCAGACATTTCAGGCACTTAGCGACAAGATAAACAAGTTAATTTAATATTTAATTTATGTACTTTTTCAAATCCTGTTTATTTGGCTTTCACACTATCTCCCTTCTATGGCTTTTTGAAAAAGGCTGACACCTACATTGTGGTGGTCAAAGAAGCCTTGTTACCACCTCGGTGGTAATGGAATCAAACATGTTGTGTTGGCCCTGTCTGCAGAATAATCCTTTCAGCTGCACTTTGCTGTATATGAGCTAGGCTACCCGTCAACGAGACACGTACACCGGCTTTGCTCCTCCCCAACAGCAGCATGGCGGCCTATACTGGGATGCTGGTAAAGTCACATTCGGCCAGGTCTAAGCCCACATTTCTACACAGAACATTTTGCTAGAGATAAAACACACACAAGCTGCTCTGAGTACACAACAGTCACAGTCCATCGTGACTGGCCAACAAGAGCACCTCCGCAGCTTGACATGAGGGGCTAATTATGCGAAGAACAATGCATTACCTCCACCGTAAAGGCAGCCATTTCTCTAATACGCTGCACAGTATACACATATTGTATTAGTAGAGGAGACTGACAGAGGAGACTCAGGGAGGAATTCTTTACCAGTGTCCTTGTCAAGAGAAATAGAATAATGTTTTGTGAGCCAGGCTTTTCTGATCAACATGCTACTTGCCTTCTTTCCATTCTCTCTCTCTCTCTCTCTCTCTCTCTCTCTCTCTTTCTCTCAACACTGTCTAGTTTACCTTTCATTATGAGAACCTTGGTGCAAAATGTGTTTGCTGATAAGAGCCAGTGGTTTATAAACTGTTTATAAAAGACAGAATTAGGATTAATCAAACCCAGCACACATCTGCTGGGGGTTGCTTTCTGTAAACAAATAGCATACTGACTGGAATGAATGATAAGATAGAAAAATAAAATGCTGGAAAATATTAGGATGTTTTAGAAAGACTGGAGGAAAGGAGGAGGGATTTAACTCCAGTATTTCATTGCCAAAGACTGTGCTTCCTCTGTCAATGCTGAGTCTGCTTGCTCATTATCTGCATATCTGCACTTCTATCTGAGAGCTGAAATGCAGCATTGCAGGGTGGCTTTAGAGGAACACTGATCACAAGCTCTTCTCCAGGAATTGTGTGGTCGATTCTTTCTGAATTCTGCAAGACCTAAATGAGGAATGCTTTGGTTTTTGCCAAAAAAGGAGAAATCTCGGTCACAAAGATAGAGAAAAACTTCAAAAGGCACATGTAAGGGAGTAGTCCTAGATAGGCTTTCTGAATACTTTGAGCCGCAACAGTTGTGACTGAGGTAATTTAGCTCTGAGTGATTGGCCAGGACATTACTTTCCATTGAAAAGTGTCTCTTTAGGACAAAGCAGGAAGCGGCCTTAACTGTCAGTATGTGTCCTCTGGACTGGCCAGCGTCCAGCCCCCTCCCTGACCGGAGCGTGCACAGTCAGCCCTGCAGAAAGGGCTGCTTTATTAGTTGGTTCTGCATGATTAATTGAACATCTGTTTGCAGAAAGATGGCTGACCCAACTCCCAGCTGTTTACCTCTTGAATAAACAGTTAATAAGGCTGCATTGAATGTCATATCTGAGGTTGCGTGTTAAACTTTAGTTAGGGCTCACTCATGTTTGTAATAAACACAGCAAATATATAACTGGGAAAAGCACTAGTGTACTGTGATTTTATTTAGATTATTTTGTGAACATGTAGCTCCCCCCCACAGCTCAGCGGTGCAGTTAAAACCCACTTCGTCTCTCTCCTGATTAGCAGTGTCTTTGTTCTGTTAGTGGTAGCATGCCATGAAGCGCAATTGCAGTGGGCAATCTGACGGCTTTAAACAAGCCTGCTGCTGCGCTGATCTGATTCACACATACCCCCCTGCTTGCCTTGCTTTGGCAAAATGAAATCAGCTTTTGTTTGTTGTTTGGTCTCTGAATGGTTTAAGCCTCTAGAGAAATGTGGAAAATTCCAACTGTTTCCTTTCATTGCATGTACAGTATTAGTGTCTGCAAAGATATTGAATGTGGGTGGGTTATCTATAATTGTTCACTCAGCAACTTAAATTCATGTGTAATTATTAAATACAAAATTTAAAAATAATTTTGTTTTGAAGCTTTGGATATTCTGCCAAAACCTGATCTTGTGGTGATGTTATGCTTTGTTTCTCCACAGGCTGCCTCTCTGGCGTTGAGCAGTTTGGGACATGTATACACCGCCATCGGGGACTATCCAAATGCACTGGCCAGTCATAAACAGTGTGTCCTACTGGCCAAGCAGTCCAAAGATCAGCTTTCAGAGGCCCGCGAACTGGGAAACATGGGAGCAGTCTATATTGCTATGGGAGACTTTGACAACGCAGTACAATGCCATGAGCAGCACCTGGGCATCGCTAAATCGCTGGAGAATAAACGTGAGGAAGCCCGGGCTTACAGTAACCTCGGCAGCGCCTACCACTATCACAGGAACTTTGACAAGGCCATGTCCTACCACACGCACGTGCTAGAGCTGGCACAAGAGCTAGAGGAGAAGTCCATCGAGATGAGAGCCTATGCAGGACTAGGCCATGCTGCTCGGTGTATGCAAGATTTGGAGAGAGCCAAACAGTACCACGAACAGCAACTATCCATTGCAGAGGGTTTGAAAGACCGGGCAGCAGAAGGACGAGCCTCCTCCAATCTAGGTATGTTCACAGTCCTGCTTTTGATAGATACAGTAGTCAGTCATAGGGAAATAAAGGGTGGTATTCAACCGTTAACATTGTTGCTTATCAATTGTATAGTTTTCTTTCCAAAGCATATCGCTTGTGGCCCTATATTCCCTCATGTATACCATAAGTAGTTCCTTAATGTTAGGCACTGCCACTGTTATACCATAGGACTTACAGTAGGGCTTAAAGTAAATTGAGGACATGGCAACATTTTAATTAATTTCAGAGGAGAGGAACCAAATACTATCGACCAAAAGGAAAACTCCACAGATTTGTTGAAATTGCCTTCTCCCGATATCTGCTCTGCTCTTAAATTTCTCAAACTTAATCATATCTTTTAAAATGGACTGGAGCAAAATGGGGCCTGAGAAAATTAAATTCATACCTTAATCTTTTGAATAGAAACAAAATGTAAGAATCAAAGCCTTTAAGACCCAGTCTTTTTCTTCTGCTATGAAATGAAATTGCTATCAAGGTAACCTTGTGGAGTCATAAAACTATGAAAACAGCTCAACATACGGATAAGGTCTCTTTATGCATTTTATACACTGCTTGATTTATAGTAATACCATTTCCACTCTAACCAGCCCTGCACCAAATGACTCATGACGCTATCAAGACTGTTGTAAACCCAATTTTAATGGACATCTAAGTGGCATAGTATCTCCTCCCAGATGAAATATTATTTAACCTAATGTGTAAAAGTGGTTGAGCATGAACAGGGTTAATATACTGGAGATAAATTTCAGTTCCCCTTTGACTGGACTAATACTCATCCCACATTACATGTACCCACATCTTATGTAAGCGCCTGTAAATTCAGATAGAAAACTTTATGATATTCCATGCAAGGTTTAGCTGGAGTTGGCACAATATGTCAGACGCCATATTTATTGCCTGCAGTCTGATCACCATGACGACAGCCTGAAGGCTAGCCAAAAGTCCCATAGTACAAGACCAGGTTACACCATGGTGGACGTACAATAAATGCAAGACCAGTTTCGACCTCTTGCTGTGACATATCTCCACTGTCTATTTTGTTTCTTTTCATTATTTTTTGATCACTCCCACTTCCCACTCTCTCTCCTTTCACCCCTACTGATTGTAATCTGCGGCTGTCAAGCTCCCAGTAATTGAAACTGACTTGATGAATCGCTTAATTACCTTTAATAGCTGATGCAAGAAGAGCTGAATAATGAAGATAACAAAAGGATGAAGTGCTGGTTGTGAAGTATCACTCTGTAATTGGTCCATTGTTGTTGTTTTGGGTTCTTTTCGTCTCTTCCGTCACTGGTGCCCTCAAGCCCTGCAAAAAAATATCCTGCACACAAAATGCATCTAACTCAAACTAATAGGCTGTTGTTCCAAACTTCAGACAATGCTTGCAATATACAAAGACCAGAAGGATGCGCGAGATTAACGAGATGTGATAAAAGGGAAAAAACAATGAGTGTGTGACTGTGGGATGGTAAGAAGTTGCAGAAGCAGTGAAAAAGCTCATTTTTATTATGCCCTCTCGACTTGATGTTAATGTTGCATGTAGCTGGGCTGGAGAAGACGCTGACTTGGCTCTGAGGAGCGCACCAGAGCTTTAATATCCAAATGTAATGCCCAACGGTGGCAGCAACCATGCGACCTACAAACATGAAGATATCATGTTGCAGCTACATTCATTATTCATTAATTGGCTAACCTAGCCCCTGGTCAGCAATATTTAATACACAATCTGTGGAAGAACTGTTCTACATCTCATGTACAGTATCCAGAATTATCAAACCATGCCTAAATTGCATGAATTAGTAATGCTAAGGGGTACAAATTGAAGATCCTCTTTCCAAATAACCACACTCTTTTGGGACTTGCTAACGTATACAAAAACAGCGTCACTATTCCTAGAAGATTATCTTAGAGGAATGTACAGTTCATGCATCTGTGGTATGACGTGGTACAATACAATGGTTCCCATTTAAATCTACATTTCAGAAAATCCTATGTCAAAACGCGTTACAGTTTACTTGACTGTGAGTGAAACTAGCTTTTTATACGTTGTAGAAGATTTTTTTATAGTTATACAATAAATTATACAGTATATACTGTTTTTGAGTATAGTAAACAGTCTTAGTCAAATGAACTACCGTACTACTACTACTAAAGACAATACAGCAACCTAGCACCGTTACTTATACTGTGTCTAATAACCTGATTGAGTTCTTCTTTATTTATACGTCTTTTGCACTTACTCACTGAGTTATTGACAGATTTCTGGACTTTTGATAATAGCTAATTATTTTAATGGTGCGGTGATTCACAGAGTGCATAGAAAACAGCATTGCTGATGAATGCTGTGTGTCTAAATCCACTACTCTCTGTGCAATCACAAGTGACAGAGCTCTGGCATGCTTTTAATATATGTGGTTATGGGGGACTGTTAGGCCTTAAGATGGATGACGCTTTCTCTCTAGTAAAACTAAATCATTTCCATGTCATTATCTCATCTCCTTCTACTTCACATTTTCAAAATGTCCATGCTGTATCTCTGTACTTCAAAACTTTTTATGAGGATGTTTAGAGTGATTTTAGTCACGTCGTGCTTCATAGCTTTCCATAATCCTTTTACCATATGGAGGATGGAAAATATTGTAACATTGTATAGTAGCTTCAGGCAATGCCCAAGGCCCAAGAAAATTTGGCTGCGAGACCGAACCAGGGTTCTATACAGCCTGTGTAGACACCTTTTCCTGCCCCTCCATCCATCGCTGAGCCCCAGATCCATTTTTAGCCTCCAGCATAGAACATGTTTGCTGGTAATACATCAGCAGGTATTATATCCTCAGTAAGATCAGTCTCCATGGGGAAAAGCATAACCTTGGGAGTGTCTGTGGTGGGGGCTGTCGGTGCTTCTCCAGATTCCCAGTTGTGAATCCTAACCTGCTTTTTCTGACTAAACTGTGTATTTGAGACCTAAACTTTAGACATGCTCAAACAGACCCAAATTGTACTCTTCTGTGGACTTGTAGTATCACATGATCTGTCCAGGCGTTTTGCAGTTCTGGGAGACAGTGGCCAACAGTCAGTCTCTTCTCCCGTGATGTCAGGCTGTTCTCCTCTGGTCCTGCTCATTAAATAATGTCTCTGCTTGGTCTATGCACAAATGTTCTCCTGGCTAGCCTACCAGATGTGAAAATGATGGTTACGGAAGCCCCCTACTGTGTCACTGCCAATGAGTCATGTCACTTGTTGACATTATTTATCTGGAATTGTCCACAGCGCGCCGTATTCCCATAATGATAAACAAAGCATGATCAACTGCCTGCATTGTGTGTGTGTGTGTGTGTGTGCGCGCAATATAATGAATAATAAATTGTAGCAAAAAAGACATGTCTTTCCACTTGGAAGAATATTTATTTGTCCAATAATTTTCTCAAAGTATGTCTTTGTTGGTCCTCTTATTGATCATAGTTATATGTTGTATTGTCGATGTTCGCTCTATCGCACTAATGGAGTAATGTTCTATCCACATTTACACAGAATGAAGTTGAAGTACAATGTATTGGCCAGTTAGATACAACAACAACTACTTATTCACGACAGAAGTCATCTCAGAGGACTTAACAAAACCATTGAAATCACCAACACAGATCAGGGAATCAACAGTTAAGACACAAAATATACACATATGTATTGGTCCGTAGGGACCAAGAGACCAATGTCCATGAATGTTGATAAATGTCCATACATGTTGTAGAATGTTAAAGTTTCCTGGATCCTCGCCACAGTCCTTCTAGTTGGACACTATACAGATAGTTCTCAGTCTATCTGTACTTTAATAAATCGGGCCTATACACTGTACATGTATTTCAAAATTGTAAATTGTTACCCACAATGCTGAAAGGGAGGACATACGGCTGCTGATAGTCCTCCCACCATATGGCTGACATGACATTTCTCATTTCCTTCTATTATAGCCGCTTTTAATTGATTTAATCCTCTTGTGTTTGCATATGTTGGTCTTTATGAGTCCTGTGTGCTGTCTGTGTGTGTTATTTGAGTGTTTATGTACTGTGTTTGTGGCCTTCTTGTGGTGGGCTCTGGATGAAATCAATGGGTAAACACACCGTAGTAACTAATCTTTGCCGCACCATCACAAGCAAACCACAAGCCTCAAGACTCTCTCCATCGCTGCGTCTTGGAGTGGGTACTCAGGCGCCAAGTCTCCAAGCTCATGCAGTCACTATGTTGCGAAATGGAAGGAGTTTCAGCATATGAAATATAGGAATATGTCATTTGATATGTGATATTTCAAAAAGTCAAAAGATAAACTTGTGGATTCATAATCTTCAAAGAAAATAAGAGATGAGACTCGATGAGATCTCAATTTTGAATGTTGTTGTCAGTTTGGTGGAGGCTACAGTGTGTTTGTGTGTGCATACTGTATGCTTTGGTGAGGCAAAACTATTATTTTTCAAAGGAAGGCATTTTATCTGATAAAAATCCTCTGCCACTTATTGGCAGAGGAATTTATTGCTATTTATTGTCTCCTCTACTCTATATTCTCCCCACTTTCCATATTTCTTCCTGGCAACACACTTGCCTTAGTTTCAATGTATGATCATTAAAGCAAAGAATCACCAGCGTTCATGTTGTAGATATCTATTTCAGTTGAACAGCAGGTTCCAATACAACTTATGTGGAAGAAACATTTTTTGAAAGAAATGTTGAAAATGAAAAGGGGCAAATATTTTCCCAGAAATGATTTGACTGTGATTAGAGTAATTCATCTGCCATATTATCATTTGTTGGTCCGAATGTTGTCGACACTTCTAGATCTTTATGAGAAAATAATTAGACATTAGTTGATAAGTGCAAGATTGATCCTGGAATTACAGAGAAATAGGCTATACACTTTTGACACTGACTATAGTCAGTTTCCCGGAAAGATTTTTTCATCTGCCTTCCACCATAAACCTATTCAATCTTAAAGTTATGCAATAAGCAACATGTACATGTAAGTTAGTGCTCCCTGAAAGAGAATGGAGGAACAAGTGCTGCAACATACAGTAGTAGTAATTTACATATTGTAGTTCAAGTTTTGTGTTAGCAGCAAACAGATGGGGAAGAGATTATGTATTTCTTTAAGATCAAAATATATTTTGAAGAACTGACTTGAAATTGACTGAAATACTGGTTTCCTGTTGAATAACCTATATTATTTTCTGTCCTCTTTTGTCCACAGGCATTATCCACCAGATGAAAGGGGACTATGACACTGCACTGAAGCTACACAAAACACACCTGGCCATTGTCCAGGAGTTAAATGACTATGCAGCTCAGGGCCGTGCCTATGGGAACATGGGAAACGCTTTCAACGCTCTGGGAGTGTTTGATCAGGCCGTACGTTACCACCGGCAGGAGCTGCAGATTTCTATGGAAGTGAACGACCGGGCATCGCAGGCATCGACACATGGAAACCTGGCTGTAGCTTACCAAGCCCTGGGAGCACACGACCGCGCCCTGCAACATTACCAAAATCACCTCAACATTGCCCGAGAGCTCCGAGATGTCCAGAGTGAAGCTCGAGCTCTTGGAAACTTAGGAAACTTTCACTGCTCCAGAGGGGAATTTCCTCAAGCTGTGCCATACTATGAACAATACCTCCGTCTGTCCCCTGACCTCCAAGATATGGAAAGTGAAGGGAAGGTTTGCCACAATCTAGGTTATGCTCACTATTGTTTGGGCAACTACCAGGACGCTGTCAAATACTACGAACAGGACCTAGCGCTGGCTAAAGATCTCCATGATAAACTGAGCCAGGCCAAAGCTTATTGCAACTTGGGGTTGGCATTTAAGGCCCTGGGAGACTTCACAAAAGCAGAAGAGTGTCAGAGATACCTGCTCTCTTTGGCTCAATCCCTAAACAATGCACAAGCTCGTTTCAGAGCTCTGGGGAACCTGGGAGACATATTTGTGTGCAAAAAAGACATTGCGGGAGCTATTCAGTTTTATGAGCAGCAGCTTGCTTTAGCCCACCAGGTATTCATTTATGCAAAACCCTCATATGCATGCAGAAAATACAAAGTCACTGTGTTGATATTGTGTCTGTTTCCAGATCAAAGAGCGTCGGATGGAGGCCTGTGCATATGCTGCTTTGGGAGCTACTTACAGACTCGTGCAGAAGTACGACAAAGCTCTTGGCTACCACACCCAGGAGCTTGAAGTGTATCAGGAGTTGGGTGATGTGCCAGGCGAGTGCAAGGCCCACGGACACCTGGCAGCGGTCTACATGGCTTTGGGGAAGTATGCCATGGCTTTCAAGAGCTACGAGGAGCAGTTGGAACTAGGCCGAAGACTGAAAGATCCAGTTGTGGAGGCTCAGGTTTATGGGAATATGGGTATCACAAAAATGAATGTAGGTGTAATGGAAGAGGCCATTGGTTACTTGGAACAACAGCTGGCTACTTTACAACAGCTAAATGGCAACGAAGCAGTAATGGACCGAGGGAGAGCCTATGGAAATCTAGGTGATTGTTATGAAGCACTGGGAGACTTTGAGGAAGCAATCAAGTACTATGACCAATATCTGTCAGTGGCTCAAAGTCTGAACCGTATGCAAGACCAAGAGAAAGCCTACAGGGGGCTGGGCAATGGGCACAGGTGAGTCATTTTTATGTACTTTTACAATATACTTTGGATACAGATGTTAGTGTCATACAAGTATGATTAGTTGTTGTGCTTTGTGTATATATATTTGGTATATGGACATAATTCCAAAGTGAATTTATTCTTTAAATGAAGTACATTCAAAGCTTCCAATCCAATCCAATCCAGTTTATTTATAAAGCACTAATAAAAACAACATGGTTGACCAAAGTGCTGTACATAAAAAGACATACACAAATATACATTTAAAAAATACAAAACAGTGGCAAAAAAAACACTATTTACAGCAAAAAATCAATTGAAATCAATTAAAAGCTGTTTAATGATAATAATTTCTTTCAAAATTACACTATACGCCTCTCCCTAATCATAAACCAACTTTTCATGTTAGAGGGATGATATTTTGTGACCCCACTCATTTTATTTCACGGCTTTACTTTCAGGGCCATGGGAAATCTACAGCAGTCACTAGTTTGCTTTGAGAAAAGACTAGTCGTAGCTCATGAGCTGGGAGAATGTGGAGGCAAAGCCCAAGCCTATGGAGAACTTGGAGCACTGCATAGCCAGCTGGGAAATTATGAGCAGGCCATCTCTTGTCTTGAGCGGCAGCTTGCTATTGCACGTGATACCCTGGATCGGCTGCTGGAAGGAGATGCCAGCTGTGGTTTGGGAGCTGTGTATCAAGCAATGGGAGAGTACGAGACAGCTCTTCAGTGCCACCAAAGTGACCTGGACATAGCAGAGGAAACTGGGAGTCCGACCCGTCAGGCCCGGGCTTATGGCAATTTGGGACTTACATACGAGTCTCTAGGAAACTACGAGCGCGCTGTTGTGTTTCAGGAACAACATCTAAGTGTGGCTGCTCAGACTAATGATTTGGCAGCCAAAACCCTGGCCTACGGCAGCCTCGGCAGAACACATCACGCACTGCAGAACTACTCCCAGGCTGTCATGTACCTGCAGGAAGGTGAGTGAGCTCAAGATAAAAATGCCTTTTCTGCACAAACTGATATGCTTAGCCCTGAATTTAAAACCAAAGATTCAGGGTTAAATTATTGTTCACCTCTATATTTATTTATTTGGATTTAACACTGTATATAGAGGATGATTTTGTATGTGAATATATTCACACATATTTGTGTTGTCACACCTCTGAATCCAGTTATGTTTAAGCTGCAAATTTCTTTTTTTCCCCACTAGGCTGTGACTCCAGTGTCTCATGCCCTATTGTCCCCTATGGATTACGCTGAAATATAAAGCTGCTGCTTGGTCTCACTTAAAGTCATTGTGTCAGAGGAGGTAACGACAGTGTTTGTCACCAAAATGAGCTCAGTGGCATCAGTTGTGGATGTGAGTTGAATGTTGGTGCTCTTGCTTGATGTCAGACAGACCTCATCCCCCAGCACCCCACTGTTTTATGACCAAACACTGTATGAACCCAAGACAATTACAGCATGCATGATGCTGGTGGAATATTTCTCTCAACGGGGGGGAGGGGCTACATGGCACTTAAAATCCATCTAAAGTCAGCTTGATCAGAGTTTGGAGGTCCAGCAGTGACCTACACAGCCTTTGCAGACCTGCTTTAATTGAACAAAGGCGAGAGAGTCCTGTCTGTCCTTCTGTTTACTCGTGTAGTGTCCTTGTGTTGTGCTTGAATCCAACTTTGGAAAAGAACAGTGCTGTCACTGTCCTTGACTGCCAATTATTTTTGGTCAACCTTCTAAAACTTGGGCACAGTTCTTATTTCGGTTAGCATTTCTTTCCAAAAGTTGTTATTATATGTGTGTCGTTTCCAAAAGATCATATTTCAAGGGTAGACAAAGAAACCTACAAAACCTAGTGTTTCTGCAACATTTGTGTTAGATTATAACGATTGTGTAACTTTAACTCAAAGGTCATTTTACTTTCAGCTTTTAATGGCACTATGTCATTAAATCAATGCCATCATTGCAGCAGCTAATGAAGGTGCTCCATGCTTCACACTTTAGGGGACTACAACTTTAGAGCATTAGTGGTCACAAAGCTATTTTAATGCTGATTACACGGTAATTGATCAGTGCAATTTATTCTACCGATTGCATAAATTAAGGAGAATTGTTGTGATGATTTACTGCATTCAAAGTGCCAGGCTGTGTATTGTTGCAACAATACATAAATGAACAGGCGATGCTGAGCACTCCGAGTTAAGTGCATTGATAGGTGTACATTTGCCTTTCAATTATATTTTTGTCTATATTAAAAGTGGGGATGGCAAAAAACAAGAGAGCAGGCAGATATAAACAGGATATTTTCTACTAGTCGTTAATAACTGTTTTGAGACTCATCTTAATTGTTTCTTGTACATTTTAGCTTGTTTTATTTATCTACTTGTCTGATGCACACTGGGGTACTTCTGTACATGTGGTTTTACTGCAAATGGCAAAGAAACTGACTCTGAACACTAGCCACACAATATTCATCATAATTGTGGTTAAAAAAAAAGCCCCTAGATTTATACAAAAAAATCAAATAATACAAGTGTATATTTTTACGTAATTCAATTTATTGTCATATTTGACAGGAAATTTTGACAATAAATTACAAACCTCAAAGTTGAAGTAGCGTATTCTTATGCTTAGCTTTTATTGCTTCACCCTTACCGGCATTAAGCACAAAACTTTGGGTAAGAACATCAAAAGATGACCTGTCTCATGATCAAAGGACACTCTGCTGTTGTGTTTCTTTGGTGCAAATATGTGAAGTTTAGGTGCATGTATCTGTGTGTTTGTGAAGGCAGCATGTAATACCGGTGTGTGAAACACTGGCTGCGCGGGCCTGAGGGGCTGCAGCTCTCGCCCAGCTGTCACAAGCCTTTAAAGTCTTCTCTAGTCGCTCTTCAGGGTGCAGCCAGCCACGGCCACATCCTCATGTCAGCTGCGGCTACGTGACTGTGCCTGCAGGGCGCACCAAAGGCTGCCCGCACCACTGTGACAGACAATGAATGGTACAGGAACGACAACACGGAGGATGAGAGTCAGGAATAGAGCGATAGATGAAAGGAGAAAATGACAGGTGGGAGGTAGCAATAGTCTGGGATTGGCACAGGTCATAATTCAAGTGTATTATTTCACTGTCATCAGAAGAATAAAGAAAACATAGAGTTAGTTGACAGGCTGCTTGATCGTGAGGAACTATCAGTGCGTGGCTTGGAGGGAGAGGTTTGTGTGGATGAAAGAGTCAGAGAAATGAGGCTGATACGGGTGTGACTGTCAAAGAACGAAAAGGATAATTTAGATCTGTTTCCTCACTCATGCTGTAGAGCTTAATGAGCCCTAAGCAGCGCCAAGCCTTTGCAAGCACTACTGCCGCAGTTGAGATGAAACAGGTATAGCAGGAGGGGGCAGCTGGAGAGAGCAGAGCAGTCCTGTGGAGAAGGGAGCCCAGCACACAGACATTGGGAGGGTGTGTGCACAGATAAGGCGTTAGAGGGGACCAAGGCTGTGGCTTCAAAGGTGCGCGGCTGTATAGTGGCTGTGAAGCAGTCATGAAGTCTCAGGCTGCCTAGTGTGTATGGTCCTGTGGAGTTGTGGGCAGCCTGAGGTCACACTATCTCTTCTTGACTTATCTCTCTAAGCTACAGAATATTTTACTGGAACATTGGGAAGAGCAGACTAGGATTAGGGTGACTTGGCCCATTTCTGCCTCTGACCAAAACCATGGCTTATCTCCTTCCTCATTCAAGAAGTGTAGAGAATACACCATCAAATGAGCAAAGCATGACTTAGTAAGAATCAGCGGGCGACTTGCAGCTTGCACTTTGTCAGTGATATGTGACCCAGCAGCTGTTGTTTCCTCTCCAGCATCATTTTCTGAAGTGGCATTTTCATCTCAGAGAGTAGAAGTCTTAAAGGCCACTAATTCTGACACCCCAAAATCTGAATAATTAATAAAAATATCGTACGTGTTTTAAAACATTCAGGATAGCTTGTCAGCCCCGGCTCAGAGATTGGGCTTTGCTTTGACAATCCATTCTAAGCTTTAAATGCTTATAGATTGTTTGCAAATATTTGTCTGCCTCCTTGAGAGATTATTTTATGTAAACAGTAAGAGTGTTTGTTGGCAGAGCCAATCCTGAGCATTGATTGCCATGCTATCTGATTAGTGTTCAAACAGGCTCACTCAAAGGCACAAGTGCATGCTTTGGACCGTGTCTGGGCAGAATTACACACCAGAGGCAAACTCTCGTAACCTGTTCACAGTGAGAACATGAGTACCACGCTACGCTTACATCTGTTACTCTGAATGATACATATGAATCTGCCTGCATGGAATATTTTTGACTCTCCTTCATCTGAACCCATTCCCTGCTTCTCTGACAGGCCTCCGACTCGCAGAACAGCTGGCTCGACGTGAAGATGAGGCCAAGATTCGCCATCGTCTCGGACTCTCACTGTGGGCCAGTGGGAACCTGGAGGAGGCCCAACATCAGGTCTCATCATCTCTCCTATTAATTTACCTCACATTCTTTTATGTTTTAGATTTATATAACTATAAGCTGGTTCTCAGTGACAATTTTGATGATAAGCGGCCACATTTAGCATAACAGAAACTGTTCTCAGAACCTTTCCTAGCATCTACTCTTGACAGGTTGGCCTAGTGGCATTGGAATGATGGGTTATGGGTTAATCTTTTTTGTGTGTGTGGCCAAACTGCACACCAGCTCACAGAAATGATGTTTATTCATAAGCTGCTCTGGTGTCATAGAGGAACTTGGTTAAGGCCATGTCCTGCTTCAAATCTAATTTGTATTGAGCCATATTTGAATTCATAAAGCATCCATAGGTCTGAAATGAGAGCGCTTGACCCTATGTATTCTGCTTCACCTACTTGTAAATCAAATTGCTCTACAATCCCAGGGTACTCTGCCACACAGTTTGACGTGCAGTGATTCTAATCAGCTATTTGAAAAGCACTTACATCCGCAGAGCACAAATCAATAAATGGTTACTTAAATAACAGGAGTCTAGATAAAGCAGCTTACCTTTGATATCATCTGTCAGAAAGGATAAGCTTTTCTAGGAAGGATATTTTACAAAAATCATTATATGTATGTGTATATCCAGTTCCATTCGCCTCAAGTGTGACACTGATATTCACTTAACCTGTCAGATAGGCCTTGTTAGTGTCAGAGTTGGTAAAACATGAGCTTCTATACTGCATGCAGAGCAGCTGCAGACGATGACAGATTCTACCTGCACAGCAGCCAAGCAAGTCACTGCACACGCAGCACATTTAGGATGGTTTCCCTTTCATCCGAGCCAGAAAGGGTCAGGCCGGAGGAAAGGCGTTAGGATAAATTAGTTTCACTCTTATAGGGATGTCTGCAAGCCTTACAGATTAAACTAACTCTTCTGCAATCAGCTCACAGTCCTATCAGCAAAATCAGCCTGGGACTAGGAGCTCTATACAGCTCTAACGCAGCCTGCCCCCACATTCTCAGCTGATCCCCTCTCTCCTCCTCCCTCACCCTGACACACTTTCGTCTATGACCTTGTTCACCAGACCACGCGGTGTGCCAGTCTTTCTATACCATACATACCAATACATGGAGCTCGTATTATTTATGCAAACTGCTTGTATTTAAAAGATGAACCTATAGCTGCTATGACGCTGTAGCGCCAGTCAGTCACTAGGGCTTCTATAAGCAAAGGGAGAAGGGATCAATAAGGGCTCATGAATCAGCACATCTGACCCTCTCTGCTACTCCAGACAACAACACTGTAGCCACACCTTCCCTGTCTCCAAGCAGGACATTATTGGTACAGTGACTTCTTCCTGGCTCAGATTCTCACTACCCAGCCTCTTGCGGAAGCAGAACAAAGAATGACTGACTGCTACATTGTCTCCTCAGTGTTAGACCAAGGCCAGACTACAACAGCCATACCATATACTGTACTGTATATGTATATCATCTTTTTTTTCCCCTTTCTTCTTTAGCTTTACCGAGCATCAGCACTCTTTGAGACGATTCGCCACGAAGCTCAGCACAGCACAGACTACAAGCTGTCTCTGTTCGACCTGCAGACCTCTTGTTATCAGGCACTCCAGAGGGTCCTTGTGAGCCTAGGTATGTAGCTACAGCAAAATTAATTCCACAGGACAACCCATATGGCACACTCGCACACTTCCACATGATAGGCCCGGGTTGACCTATCATTGCTCAGCCGACTCTTTTTGAAACAGAACTTCGTTTCTCCTCCTCAGCACAGCTTTTTATTTCAGTTTTTCTTTTTCTTTTCACCATCAGTGCCTTGGCTCCTGGAGGAATAGTCGCACACTCATACCCTGTTCTGAATCATTATTCATCATTCTATATTGTGAATTTTTCCTGAGTGTAAAGCACCCTTAATACAATTCAAGAAATTGTTCTTATGGAAGGAGAAATAGCAACTGCACTTGAAATAAGACTTTGCTGATTCCATTGTTTTAACACTTACCTTATATTTTATCATTCTTAATAATTCTTACTTTGCCATGCATGTTCTTCATTTTTAGTCTATATTGGTTAAAGACACAATCATGTATAAATTGTCGTAGTAAAGCCATGAGACACATCATACACCTGACATGGCCTCATCTTTGAAAACAATGTCTCCTTTTATGGGGCTCAAGGGCGCACTAAATATTTAATGTGAAGGAAAAAAATGCTAATTGTCTGCGATGATGTTACTGTTATCGTCTTCTTTGTTGCATTTTAATGAGACTGATCTGTTGGATATTTGATACATTACATTATCATGGGGTCACATGAAAAAACTTTAGGTAAAAGCGTTGAAAATTGACCCGTGCTCCTCAGGACATCACGACGAGGCGCTGGCTGTGGCAGAACGCGGCCGAACGCGAGCCTTTGCTGATCTGTTGGTGGAAAGGCAGACCGGCCAGCAGGACATGGACCCCTACACCCCAGTCACAGTGGAGCACATCCTGGACACTGTGAACAGCCAGAGGGCCCTGGTGCTATACTTCTCCATGGCCGCCGGCTACCTGTACAGCTGGTTGCTAGCTCCAGGAGCAGGTGTGTGCAATCCTGAGAAACTCTTGTGTGTTCATTCCTCAAATTTGATTTCCAGTTAACCCTTCAGGTGCCCGTTTTGTTTCTGCAGTACAGTAGTATCACATGCTGCTACCATGCACAGTAGTTTCATCACTGCGAATATGGGAACTCTCAGAGCTAATGGAGTACTACCCTAATATTCTTGCACTACAGGGTACTACAGATTTATTTGCAGATACATACATACAAGCATATATTTCTTGCGGTAGAGTATAGAGTAATTTATACCCCTTATTAATAGTTTATAGGAGGATTTTCCTGAATTCTAGGAAAGAACAAAACAAAACTCAATGGTCTTTTTGATGAACACGTATCACCAGAATGATTGACAATTGGGAGGACCAACAGTCTTGATGATCCACCCAGAAGTAGAAAATCCTCCAATATACCTTTAATCTAAATATATAGATTTTATTTTATTTTTAAAGCTTAAAGTTGTGCTATACTTAATTATCACTTATCTTGTGTTGTGTGCTTCTACTGTTCTATAACTTCTGATGCAACACTGAAATTTCCTTTTATCAGAGATATACTTTACACACTTTAAATTATAAAATAAGTCCTATGGTCATGATTTCCACACAAGCGGATTAGCCCTCTGCATCTTTCAAACTTTTAATTATGTTTTGTTTTGGAAGTCCCATGGGAAAAATTATTAGGATTTTTACTCGCAGAACTGCAAGGTGTTCAGACAATAAATAACAGCATTGTGATAGAGTTGGATTATATTTTTACCCTTTTATAAATGCATAAAGTTGGGCTTTTAAAGCATGTGTTAAAAGAAAACTCAAATTTAAAATAGTGTAGATGATAAAGACCATCCCAAAGGTGTGGAGGTCTCGAGGTAGAAGCCATGTTGGAGACCACTGTTTTTGAATCAAAGAAAGTTAACGCTTCTCACCCCTTAAGATATCTCCCTTTGGAGCACGCTGATCCAGATTGATGCCGACAAACACCATTTTCACACATGCCAGCAGCGAAACTGCTCTTTAGCGCATTGTCAACAGAAAGTTTCACTCCATTCATGGATGATTACCTGTCTTTTTTATCAGTGATATCAGAAGAACATAAACTAGAATGTAACAAAAGCAAATAATGCCATTATTTGTTTATTAATACCAAAAATGTCATATTGAGGTTATGTTTTTATTCATTTTAAACATACCATGCAAGTAAGGAAGAGAAGATTTTACGTTACGCTCAAATTGTTTTTGCATATTTCTGTTGGATTCTCTGTCATAGGGCAGCTGTGGCTACAGTAGTTGTGTGAAGTGAATGAATAGATAAGAGATCCTTTATAATAATCCAGGCGTCAATATACCACGATTGATAAACATAAACCCATCTGAAGACCGTTCAGGATATCATACTCCTTATAATATCATACTCTTATGTTTCGACATCATTCTTAACTACCTGTTATTTATATATTTTTTTCACATATACCAGTAGTTAGGAAATAGTTCGAGGCACCAAAACTAATCAAACTGTGCAAGAGCAAAGTATGTATTTACCTCTTGCTCCTGGCTTTCACAGTCCCTTTGGCACTTTGCTAGTCCCAGTTTTACATTTATTTGCATGAACAGCCTTATGTAATGAACTGGTGGCATTCAAACATTCTATACACTCCGTATGGATCCATAAACACAGCTTGTCCTCCTTCTCTCGGCACGTTCCTTCCCTCCCCTTTCTGATGTTGCTGCTCACCACTCTGCTCTCGTGGAGGGCAGCAGATGGCACAGTCAGTCTAGTTTTATCTTTTATTGAACATTATTTGTTTTATTCATTTTACTCCGCAGATGCACCAACACACATGGTTTCACACTCATAGCCGTTTCTCGAAATGATCCAATAATCCCCCCTGTCGTGAGTCAGTTCAGAGAATGCATTAGAAAAGGAGCTATGGCAAATCGTTTTATTTTCTTTGGCGTTCACTTTATAAATCTGTTCAGTTGTTTGATGGCACCTTTTACTCTCCGCAGGCATCCTGAAGTTTCATGAGGTGTACCTAGGGGAGGGCGTTTCGGAAGGAGGCTCTGATTTCCAGGACGGAGGGGGCAGCGGCATGGTCAGCGGGTCTTCACTGGAGCAGCACATTGCAAGCGCTCGTGAGGCCCTTGGAGTTGAGTCCTACTACAGCAGGTACGTTGGATGAAAATATGTTAGCAATAGGGCTGGGCGATCTGAGAAAAAAGCCATAGTTAGCGATATTTTTTCTCCATTTTGACTGATCCTGACATTTGAATACATTTTACTGGTCAATGGATGATTTTAGTTCAAATTAATAGAGGGTTGGTGCTAATGCTAATGCGCTAGTTTGCAATTAGGACATTTTTTAGGTTATTATATCATTAAAAATAAATAATTCATTCATTTCATTCACTTTCAACCCCTTTATTAGTTCATTTCTGGGTTGGGGGGGTGGCATTGAGAGCTGCCACCCAATGCTCAAAAGCACCGGTCCCTCGCTGGTCCTCTGCAGGTGGTGGGTCCACAGGAAGATGGCTGCTACATCAGTGGTGCCACAGCCTTGGTCTTTCAGCTGGGGCTTCAGGCAATGTGGGTGTTAAGTGTCTTGTCCAAGGACACAACGACAGCAGACATCAGTGGGAGCAGTTGGAGTAGTTGAAGTAGGTCCCGTGATGGGCTCGAATCCACGACCTTCCGGCGCAAAGGCCAATGCTCTACCAACTGAGCTACTGTCGCCCCTAAAAAATAAATAATGTATTCATTTAATAGAAGTAGGCTTATTTTAAAGAGAAGAGGAGGAAACTGAACATGTTTTATCTATTGAAGGTTAGTTTCTAGCTTGTTTTTTGGTCTGGTTGTTTTAGTGTAGTGCATTTTGGGTATATTTAGATTTTTTTTTTGAATATTCTTTTGTGCTAATTATTTCCTGGGGGGATACAGGAGTGGACCCATGATAAAAGTGACTGTTTTACAGATTTAATAATAAATAAATAAATATATTTAAGGTTATTTTGTATCAGTCAATCTTTCATGGAAAATACAATATTTCTTTTTTTGTCAAACTTATTCAATTCTTTTTTTAAGCAGTAAAGACACATGCTCTCCTTCCTGACTTTTGAATTTTAACACCTGTCCGTAATTGTGATCTCAAAAAGTTAAGATTGCGACGTATTGATCTTTTCATTTTTCAGCTCTTGTGGCAATATAATAGAGCGATCTTTCTTTAAATTTAAAGCATTTCAGAAGTCAGTCATTGTGACAAGTGCACATCATTTGTCTCTTTTATGAACAGAAGTCTAACACAAGAACTGGTGAAGAAAACGTTGATATACGTGTGCAGAAGGTGAAAAGCCAAAATTGTTATTTTATCATTCTGAGTGTGTGCATAAGAGAGTATTATTCTGCCCCATTGCATCTTATGATGACAGACCTCCGCTACCGGACCAGCTCTCAGCTCTGCTCCCGGTGAGAAGAAATCATACGGAATAATGGCTCTTTGAATGGCCAAATTGTTGAACACCAAACATGACAAGTAAAAAAAAATGAATGAAAATGCCTTTTGAAAATTATACGGCTAAGAAAATTGAAATATAGAAGCAGAAAAGATAGATGTTTCTCTTTATATTGAATATGTTTTTCTATCAAAGCGGGCGACGCTGGTGCAGTGAAGCAGAACAGAAAACAGATCATATTTGAAATCTGACGCATTGCAAACATAGCCGTTATGTTTGCTGTAGGTCTCCCTTCTCTAGTTGGGGTTTGATTCAGGGTGCCCAGCTGGCCTGCCCAGTGCCAGTCCCTGCCACCCCAGCAGCTTGGACCTCCTGCCCCATTACCAGCTCATTTACTACTCCAATGGGAAGCTGCTCACAAGCCACTGCGCCTGGATGGGCACAATATGGCACCACTTACCAGTCTATTCATTCTGCAGAGCGAGGGGACAGGCACGGAGGCAGCAGACGGAAAATGAATGGAGATACAACTGAATTAAGTAGCAGTAGATGCAGAGTATTCTATTTAATGTATATTTTACAGCGAATGGGGAGTATTGAGAAAAAAAATACTGTAGCTTTAAGCACGGAAAGATTGTGAGCTATATGCTAAAACAAATTTTTCCTTGCTGATATGACTGTTGTCGCTGATAGTTTACAGTAGAGTTCTTCTTTAATTCGACCAGTTTCATGTTCACTATTTAGCCGCCAGATTAGCAGAATTCAATAGGGGGATCCTGTAGTGACGTCGTTGTTTATAGTTTTTCCGCGCCTGTCACGACTGGGTGGCAAAACAGCATAGAAAGCTACCTGGATGCTAGAGAATTAGCTATTTTTAGACGTTTGGAGAGAGGTTTGACTAAATCAAATGGTCAATTCCTGTTGTGTGGCCGGTTGTACGGCCTGCTGGGGCCAGATCAAGTTTTTATTTTAATTCCTTTGGAAAGAACAGCGGTAAACAGCCGCGGTAAAGCGGTCCGTACATTAAAAGCTTATAAAGTTTCAGGGCTCCTCCTAAGCCTGTCACAAAAGGCAACTTTGACAGACAATAAATTGCTTCTGGAAATTATTGCGATGAAAGATAACACTGCAACTACTTCATGCCACTGAAGAAAGTACATTGCAGAAGGATAATCCCAGTATATGTATTTTGTTTAAACATTTAATCACCCCAGACGATAATTGATGTATTTATCGATTTTAGAACGATTATTGATATAGTGATTATTGTGACAGGCTTTGCTCCAACTTTTTTAGTCTGTTTCACATACAATTTCTGATAAAAACCCGAAGACTTGCTGTGTGTGTTGTGCTTTGGAGCTTGCGTTTCTATACCCTGTTGTTTAGTGGGGGTGGTTGACTTCATTGCTTGGATCATTTCAGCCTTGAATAGACTTTTAAAGTAATCTTACAAATTTTGTGAAAATAGGCCAGGCGCGGGTGGGTTGAACAGTGTGCCGTTTTGCATTATGAGCAAATCTGTAGTTTATCCACTGTAAAACAATGTAAGCCTGCCTATTGTCTGTTCCCTCTCCTTTTGTTCTTACCAGCATTTCACTCAGTCGCTTTTTTTCGTATTTTTCCTCAGAGGGTGTTCAAGCAGCGAGACCGAAAGTGAAGCCGGAGATTTATTGGACCAACAGTTTGAGGAGCTGAACAACAAACTTAATTCTGTGACGGATCCAACCGGCTTCCTCCGCATGGTGTCCAGAAACAACTTATTCAACAGGTGAAAATATTATAACACATAGAATGTGTATGTCAAATAAAGAATTCATATTATTATGGTTTCATCTGTGCGAGGAGATTTTCCCTTTGTTTATCCACTGCCAAGGCTGCATCCGAATCCCTTATTAAACAGAGCCAAGCTACTAAAGCCCTTATCAAATGCCTACTCCAACGGGGCTTTCGTCTGTGCGCCGCTATAGTTGTGCAATCTCCCTCTGCATGTTTATAGGAAGATATCCATGCTTATTTGAGGTATTTTTTCTGACAATATTAAATGCCATGATGGAAGGGTTAATTACTATCATCCTGATTGCTTATGTACATGTATTCAGTGCGTGCCTCCGTCTCTGCTTGGGTCATATTTCCTTGTCCTCGTCCACAATTGAGCTGCTCTTTGATGCAAGGGTAATTCCAGCTTTAATTGTGGCTCGGTGCTCATTAAAGCGTTTTAATGTGCTGTCGGTAATAATCCGCTCATTCTTTAAGGCTTTAAAACTTAAAAATGATTCTCATGGTTAGTAGGGTATGAGCTATCTGGTATATAAAGGCAATACAAACATTATCTCAAGGGTTTAATGCCAACACACAACATGCAAATAGAGCTCCCTTTTGGATTTCTCGTCTTTCTTGTAAAACCAGCTTTGGGGATTCCGTCTTTATCCGTCCAAGACTATTTCAGATTTATATCTATATATGTGCTGATAACACTATGATTTTATTTATTTCTTTGATGCTCTGTTTTTTTATGTGGCTTGCTTAGATATTCAAACCCGTAATGATTATATGAGGTTTTAGTTTATAGTACGACACATCTTACCCCACCCAGGTGCACAAAGTTTGCTCAAAAGACCGAAATAGCAACAAACTGCGTAACTGTTGTACTAGAATCACACATCTTCAAAGGTAGTGCATTATCTGTATTTCCAATGGAATTATCTACAAACAGTGCCTTAAATGGATTACCAGGTGATCTGGTACCTAATTTCCTAATCCTGTGTTAATTGATATAGAGACATCATAATCAGATTGGGGGAGATGTAAGTATGTCAATAAGGATTTTCTGCTCTGACTCACATTTTGTAGTTAATTAGGCATCATTATCTCTAGATGGTAAATCACAGGTTGATGATAAGCACAGCAGACACGGTTCATTGTGTAATCACTAAACTCAGTGTTCACCTCGTGCCCTGCTCTTGCTCGTCCTTTCTTTGAATTGTTTCCTTTGCACTTGACACGCGGCTCTCTTCTCCATCTTCCTGTCGCCCTAACAATTGATGGTTGTTTTCCCAAAGAGCCCCCTGTCCACTATAGGCCAGTGTGATGGGGCTTTAGGGGACTGGAGGGAAGCCAGTGGCCCGGGGCTTGCAGAAGGGCAGGACTGATGTCTGTTGGCTTGAGCCTGGAAGACACTCTGGCTGCTGGAACAGATGGAGCCTTGTGAGGATTGTAGCCAGAAACTTGAACTCTGGCTCCTCACAGCACCAAAAGCTGTAGCCCTAAGGCCACTATTAGCATTGTCATTATAAACAGAGCTTGTGGTTAGCTAAAAATATGTTCCTCTTATTGCCGTGCAATTGTACTTTTTATATATTTATTTATTTATTTTAACCGAGGATAACGAACGTGTTTGCGTCCATGTGGCTGGTGATGTTGCTGCATTAACATGGTACAATACTGCCATCTGGTGGAACAAAATAATATTGTGTAAGCTTTCTGAAACAAATATATGTACATTCTTTCTTTAGATTTTTACTGGTTCCATAAGCATGGATGAATGTATCAAATGCAGTGCACAGATTTTCCAATAGTGACACCCTACATTACTAAAATAGTCACAAGAATTATTATAAATATTCTTATGAAGCCGTCTCAGTTGTTATTTCCACAATTAGGAAAGAACAAGTTCTTTGCTCTATTTTTTATGTTTTGTCTGTTCATGTAGGTACATGAACTTACAAAAGTCAAGGAGCCACACATTTGTCAATAGAAATTTCATCCAAACAATTAAAAATATTGTTATTGGTAATGTTACTCTAACTTGATTTTTCTCTTCTCTACCCACGTCTGCCATCTCAATATCAGAATCATCAGTATAAAATTGGTGGGCGACAGTAGCTCAGTTGGTAGAGCATCTCTGGCCACCCCCCCGACCCAGGAATGGACTAAGGGGAAGAAAATGGATGGATGGACAGTATACAATTGATATCTGTGCACAAGATTAAATGTTTTCTTTTATTTTATGTTTTGCAGAAGTTGCCAAAGTATGACCAGCCTGTTCAGTAACACCATGTCTCCTGCCAAAGAGGGCAGCTCGACCCTTTCACGTCGCTCTAGCAATCTGAGCAAGCCTCCTCTCAGGGCACTTTATGATTTACTCATCGCTCCCATGGAGGGGGTGAGTAATGGAGAAATGGTAGCCTATATGTGTACTGTATATTATTAACTTAAAAACTTAATATGAATAATTGCTTTTCCATCACTTGTGTGCATCTCTAATACATGTTTCTAATGTCTCCTAGGGTCTAATGCACTCGAGTGGACCTGTTGGCAGACATCGGCAGCTGGTGATGGTGCTAGAGGGAGAGCTTTACCTCATTCCCTTTGCTTTGCTCAAAGGAAGTTCTTCTAATGAATACCTATATGAGCGCTTTAGCCTTATTGCTGTACCTTCTATCCATGGTCTTGGAACGAGCCTAAAGGTTAGAATCTATTGTTTGCCAAAATCATTGAATGGAGTTTGAAATATGTGGGATGATCTAACATAATCTCATCTCTAGTCTCACTCCCGGCGTCTTGGATCAGCTCCTTGTGGTGGTGTTTCCATGGCTGCAGTAGTTGGAAACCCGCGGCTACCTTCACCTGTAATGGATCGCTGGTTGTGGGGCCCCATGCCTTCTGCAGAAGAGGAGGCTCTAATGGTAGCAGAGCTGTTGGGCTGCCATCCACTGGCTGGTTCCTCCGCCACTAAAGAGAGGGTCATGAGTTCTCTCTCCCAGGCTGAGTGTGCTCACTTTGCTACTCATATTTCCTGGAAGTTGGCAGCATTGGTGCTAACCCCAAATCCAGAAAGCGTTTCGTCTGGTGCGAGTGGGAACGTTGGGACGATCGGTCGAGGAGCAGGCGGCAGTGGAGGCAGCAGTAGCAGAGGTAGAAAAGGCTCTGTTGGAAGTGGATACACCATACCAGAGTCTCTGCACATGCAAGATGACAACAGCGACGTGGAGAGTATTTGTGATAGTCCACCACTTCAAGAGTTCCTGCTTACAGCAGCAGACATCTTAAACCTCAGACTTCCTGTCAAGCTGGTGGTGCTTGGGTAGGTTCTTGTTAGACACTGTGCTGTGGTAATAATGCACATACAATACGTATTGTCACATTGCTCCGGCTCAGCCACCTGATTTTATGGTTCCAGGTCTTACCAGGAGTCCAGCTCTAAAGTGACAGCAGACGGTGTGGTCGGACTAACCAGAGCCTTCCTCGCTGCCGGAGCCCAGTGTGTCCTTGTCTCCTTGTGGCCTGTTCCTGTTGCTGCCTCTAAAGTTTTTGTCCATGCTTTCTACACTGCCCTTCTTAATGGGACCAAAGCTAGTGCTGCTCTGGCAGATGCCATGAAGACTGTCCAAAGTAGTAAACAGTACTCGCACCCCTCCAATTGGGCAGGTCAGTGGGGATATCACAAAATTGTGAAATTTTCTGTGAGTCTGTTGTTTGCAACATAGGATAATCTATTTTTTTGTGAATTGCTATGGTAATAGTCTTGATTTCTCACCATTCAGAAACTCATGGCTATAGAGGGGATACATAAAGCGTTGATTGACTTTATGGTGTGCTTGTGACAATAAAGCAGTTCAATTACTTATTCAGTGTTTGATCTCTTTAGGGTACATGCTTATTGGAAATGATGTAAAGCTCAACAGCCCCTCTTCTCTGATTGGCCAAGCCTTAGCAGAGATTCTGCAGTATCCTGAGCGGGCACGAGATGCTCTTAGAGTTTTGCTGCATCTGGTGAGATTGTAACCAATGCACAGAGACACAACAATATGTTCACTTTTGTGACTATTTTGTCCTTCCTCAATATAGGTTGAAAAATCTCTTCAGAGGATCCAGAATGGCCAGCGCAACTCCATGTACACTTCACAGCAGAGTGTGGAGAACAAGGTGGGGGGTGTCCCTGGGTGGCAGTCTCTGTTGACAGCTGTAGGCTTCCGTCTTGACTCAGCAGGCACCGGTTTCCCTGCAGCGGTCTTCTTCCCCACGGCTGACCCAGGAGACAGGCTCCAACAGTGCAGTAACACATTACAGTCACTACTGGGTAAGTGCTTGTGACAGCTGCTCTATATCAACTTTGTCACCTTCTAATGTGCTCTTCACAAGACCATGTTATTAATCCTTGTTACTTTATTCTGTAGGCCTTCCTCCACCAGCCCTGCAGGCTTTGTGTAAACTCATAACTGCATCCGAAGCTGGAGAGCAGCTAATTAACCGGGTAGGTGACCTGAAAGAACCACCCACATACTATACTACATCACATATCGTGTTTAAGGTTTAGTGAATTGACTTTTGTGCAAATATGCATAGTCTATCTAATACATGAGACAACTATACAAACAACTATTATCCAAGTGCACTGTAATTGTTGTGAATTGTTTGCTGACATGATGTAATTCTTCACCACACTGATTTGTTGTTCTCCTTAACTCCTACTCCTGATAGTAATGGTAATACTTCTGAGGTTAATCCCCAGCTGCACATGCCTGTGACTAGCACGAGTTTCCATCACAAGGTTCTTTATTGTTATCAGAATTTATTTCCATAAACAATGGGTTGAACCTATTATCGATTTGGAATTATCTGTGTGCATGTCATTAAAACCATTTTCTTTCCTGCTCCCAATATGCTACCTAAAGGCTGTTAAAAATATGGTCGCAATGGTAAGTGTGCTTTCACAAACCTGCTTTCTAACCTATTTAATCTACGATAGTTTTTAACAAGTTTGTTAAAAACTTGTTAATGGTACACGATACCATTAACAAGTTTTGGTTCACTGTTGTCTTAATTTTTTAACTTTCTTTCTACTTCTACCATTTACTTAAATCTGTGATTAGTTAAACAAGAGTTCAATAGATGTTAGTATGACGTGGAGCTGCCTTCTGTTGAGTATTATGGTACTCAGGAATGGCCAGAACCATGCTTTTAGTTTCTTAGCTGTTACATCACTGTAACAGAGAAGTCTTTGTTTCAAGCCATAAAATCCCCACACAATAGGTCAAGTGTGCTCTAACGGCACATGTAACTCTCTGAAAATCACTTTAAAAACTCAACTAAATAAATGATTATAGTGATATGTAAATGTTTATTTCTGTTATTATGTGCTGAAGCAGTGTATAGTGTATTTCATTCTCCCTGCCCTTCTGATCTTCAGCTCCACCAGGTGCTTGTTCAACTCCAGACTGGAGAAAAAGAGCAAGATTTCTCCCTCTTACCAATTCAAGTGTCCATTAGTGTGCAGCTCTGGAGACTTCCTGGATGCCATGAATTTCTTGCTGCTCTTGGTAAGTTTACGATATATTCAAGACAGTAGATTAACTTGAAGCTCAAATAATTCATTATTGTCTTCCTTTTTGTGTGATGTAGGATTTGACTTATGTGAGGTAGGCCAAGAAGAAGTCATCTTAAAGACAGGCAAATTAGCCAACCGCCGCACCCTGCACTTTGCGCTCCAATCCCTGCTGGCTCTGTTTGGTACGTTTCAGCCGTGCCTGTTGTGATCATGTAAAATGCGACACTACGATGCATGATACCTGAATGTGTTCTCTGTTTTCTTTCATAGACTCCACTGAATTACCAAAGCGCTTGAGTTTGGACAGCTCATCTTCCCTGGAGTCTCTAGCATCAGCTCAGTCTGTCTCCAATCCTTTGTTGGGATATTCCAGCCTACCGTTTTCCCCTAGCTTTATGGACAGTCAGGCCTCAGATGCCATTTCTGTGTACAGTCTCAGCTCTGTTGCATCTTCTATGAGCTTTGCTTCTAAATCAGATTGTGACATTCTTGCACATCGACAGCGTGGTGGTGCCACAGCATATTATTCTGCCCACAAGCATCACGTCCCTCGAAGTCGCTCATCTCCTCATGGGGCAGCTGCCTCTGTAGCCGGCGCTCGAGGAGACGAGGAGGAGTACGAAGGATTCTCAATCATCAGCAGTGAACCGCTGGGGAGCCACTGTGACTCCCTGCCATTGCCCCCAGGACACAGCCAACGCCACAGAGGAGGCCGTGGGCTAAGTGCCTCAAGTGGGGCAGGGCGGGGCTATACCGTGTCTGTGTCGTCCCGAGGTAGTGTCAGCACACCCACATCCCCCGTCAAGACCAGCCTTGTCCCGAGCCCAAACTCTCCCTTCCAGAAGGTGGGAAAAGTGAACACCTCTGACACGGGGGAGTCAGACCAGTCCAGCACTGAGACCGACAGCACTGTCAAGTCTCAGGAAGAAAAGGCAGCCCCTTTGGATCCTCAGGAACTAGCCCAGAAGATTTTAGAGGAAACTCACACCCACCTGAGGGCAGTGGGGAGCCTCCAGCGTTCCAGGCCAGAGGGTGCTACATCAGGAGTGAATACGGTGCGCAGCAGCGCATTCCGCTCCTCTGAAACTAGTGCTTTTAGTCGTCCAAACAGTAGTGCTAGCGGTCGTTCTCACTCTTCTCCTAGACCGAAACCCCCATCTCGTTCCTCCTCACTACAGAAGATAAGCTCTGGCTATAATAGTCCTGCAGTTTCTGAGTCATCGCAGAAAGAGGGCTGTCATTCTTCACCCACACTGGACAGTATTGCACAACTAAAACTCAAATATCCAAGCTCCCCTTATAGTGGTCACATCTCTCGCTCCCCCAGCAACATCTCTCCCTGTTCGGGTCACCAGTCTCCAGCTGATAGTGCTCCATCCCCAGCTCTGTCCTACTCCTCCACAGGGTCGGCATGTTCAACCTCAGCTGATGTTCCAGACTTGGACCGTCTTAGAAGAGGAGTCATCGATGAGAAAGTTCAGGCTATACACAATCTAAAGACCTTTTGGACAAATGCCACAGGCCAGCAGCAGCATCTAGGTCCACTCAGGGCTGTGCATAGTGCATCCGCCAGTAGAGATGTACTGAACCTGCTAAACCTTTCCCCGCGCCACTGCTCACCCAACGAGACCTCCGACAGCCTGGAGCTGCGGGAGTTAGAGGGGAGCAACAGAAACTCTTCCAATGGACATTTTTCCAACCCTAGAAAAGTGTCCCCGTCTCCCACTATTTCCACACGCAGCAGCCCTGGACCTCGCTCGTTTCGACTACCTGCTGGCAATGGATACAAGTTCCTGTCACCTGGTAGATTTTTCCCTTCTTCTAAATGCTGAACATTTGAAATGGGCGTATGCTTTTATGAATGACTGAAGTGGGAGCTGGAGGATTTACATTGGTTCATGAAGGATTTGCTGGTCATTGAGCATGACCCATAGGCACATGAATGGTTTCCAGAGTGTTTTCTTTGTGCCCGTAACACTGTAAATGGCAATGAGAAATACTCAATGACCTGATACTGTGTTTGTGTTATAACTGTGTCAGGTAAACATGAATGCCATTTGGTATTTTCACATTTTCACAGGAAACCTTTGCTGTTTGTGTGGGCCAAGATGCAACAACTCTGAATATTTTTATTTTATGTTGTTTTAAAATGATATTGTAATTGCAATTAAGTTTTGTTATCATTATTATTATTATTATTATTGATAATATAAAATATTTTGTTTTGTAAATTAATTCAAGTGTTTAACAATCAGTAATAAGCGTTTTTATAATATAAAAAATAAGCAAACCTGCACCTGTAAATTCAATAGTGAGGGGATAATTCATATTTTTTATTGAAATCAAAATGGCATTTTGCCTGGTTTCTTTGTGAATTGCGTGTCTGCTTTGAAGCATGAATTATCTTGCTATTCACTGTTAAGTATAATGTATACGTTTTTTGTCCATGGTTTTTAGAGTTTAATGGAAGTTTCAGTACAACCATCTGTTGTTTATCAGTAAACTCTTACAATAAAAATCATGTTTGCTTGTTTGTTTGTTTTGACTCTAAATGGCTCTTCCACACTTTCAAAACTGACCTGCTCAACACGTTCACTTATGTTTCTTTGCTTTGTCCTGTCTTGTGTATCTCAAATGTAAAATGCCTTTGGGCAACATGGAAAGCACTGTATAGTTGTGGTGTGTGCGAGTGTGAATGATGGTGGGAGGGGCCTTCTGCAGACCTTTACCTTGACACAGAAGCGTGAAAATGAACAAAAACAATAATTCTAACATAAAACATAATTACTTTGAAGTATACTTTACATCTCCATTGTTTTCCTCTCTCTCAGTTTACAGCGAAAGGATTTGCCATAGGTGGGTTTATTTCCAGATGAGTTTTGTCCATTACAAAAATTCTCCCCAATGATCATTGAATGTTGCAATGTTGTGAAAGTTGACAGATTTTGCTTCAGTTAATTCATATCAAGATATGTCTAAGTCAATTAAAAAACAATATTATGTCTTTTAATTTGACCAAAAATAGAGAGAAGTAATTTCAGAAATGTGTGTCCATGAATTAAGAACTTTCCAATCTATATATATTTTTTTTAAGTATAATAAGATGGCACAGATGTTATTTGTCATTGGCAATTTCTACAAAAGAACACAATGGGTTTTAGTGCAAAGGGATGAGTTATTGCAGAAATAAAAAAATATGAGAATTGAAATACTGAAAGACTCACTTTTGAACAGTGTTCCAAGCAATGAAACCTCTAGATATGACAGAAAGGTATAGTGTTTGTCAATGTCGGTGAAAGGATAGACTTTTTTTTTTTTTACAGTAAGGTACCCATGTTTTCTCCCAATTTATTTAATCTAAAATAGATGCTAAAAAAATATTATTTTGCGATTTCATTTGCATTCATGTGATATGGAGGTTTTAGGAATCGACCACTGTCAAAAAATAATCACAGACTTGGCAGATTTCAAGTACCCTCGCTCAGGTGAAATAGAATTCTACACGTATGCTGTGGGATACTTCAGATTCAGATTCATTTATTTCGCCATTTGCAGTATGTATACACCACATTGGAATACATTTGCAAAAGCTCCCCGTGTGCACAGGACAAGTACAGACACAAAACAACATTAAAAGACAAAAATAAAACAAATTTTAAAAACAGTAAACAAATGTCACAACAAATGTCACCGTGAAGTTGACCAACTTAAAACAGATCTATACGAGTGCAAAACATTAAAGTGCTCTATTCAAACTGTTAACAGCTCGTGGAAAAAAACTGTTAGCATGATGTCCTGCATCCCAGAGAACAGTATCTTCTGCCAGAGGGAAGAAGCTGGAACAAGGCTTTTCCTGGGTGGCCAGAAGAGTCTCTGATAATTCTCAGGGCACTGTTAAAAAGTCTGGATTGATAAAGAACCTCCAGAACAGGAAGCTCGCAGCCCACGGTCCTCTCTGCAGAGCGGAGCACCTTGTTTAAAGATCTCTTTTCTTTATCTGTGATGTTTCCAAACCACACAGACACAGAACCAACAAGTTAACTCTCAATGGTGCAGCGATAAAAGTTGAGCAGAATCTTAGAGTTAGTGGTAAATTCTCTAAGTTTCCGCAGGAAGTAGAGACGCTGACGAGCTTTCTTTACGACTCGGTCAGTGTTTTTAACCCATTTCAGGTCATCAGACAGAGTTAGACCCAGAAACTTACACTCCTCTACAATCTGCACTTGGGAGTTATCGATTACGACAGGCAAATGAGAACTATTGCGACTGAAATCAAAGACCAGTTCGCATGTTTTGGATGCGTTCAGCTGGAGGTTGTTAGCCTTACTCCACTGAACCACGTTTTGGATCTCGGCTCTATAAGAGGATTCATCGTTATTACTGATGAGACCGATGATGGTGGTGTCATCAGCATATTTGATGATCAGGTTAGAGTCTGAGGAAGACACACAATCATGAGTGTACAGTGTAAAAAGTAAAGGACTCAAAATACATCCCTGAGGAGATCCAGTGCTCACAGAAACAACATCTGAAAAACAGTCATTGATTTTCACTCTCTGAGATCTGTCAGTTAAAAAGCTATAGATCCATTTACACATGGCAACACTTAAACCCAGAGACATGAGCTTTTCAATCAGTTTACCTGGGACAAGACAATTAAAAGCAGAGCTATAATCAATGAACAGCATTCTTGCAACAGATTTCCTATTGTCCAAGTGACTGTAGACAGAGTTCATAGCAAAGGAGATGGCAACTTATTATTACTGTCACTGTATGTATTTATTTTTTCTGTGGGTGGGGGTCTCACTCGCGAGGGCGGGGCTCTGACGTCACGCCGTGCCAAAGCGCTCAGGTCTGGTTCGGTGGACTCGCGTGGACTCGCGTGGACCCTGTCGCCTGCGTCGCCTCCGTGCTGAGCGGCCATGGTCCTCGTCAAGGAGTAGTAAGTGCCCTTTTAAATAATACAATATCCTTTAGCCACATGGCCGCTACGCCGTGTGCCCGGTGTGGAGAGGCGTCTGGTGTTTTTCATGCTTTAAAGTGGACTCGGGGTAAAACAGGGTTGGCTCACACGCGGAAAGGTGCTATGGTGCAGCGAGGACAAAACTACCGTGGCCTACCGGTGTGTTGTAGCTATAATGACAGCTGCTGACATCTAACATGCTGCTGACATCTAACATGCAGAATGTAGAGAAACACTGCGTATGAAGACGTTTTGAGCTCAGTTCAAAACGTCTTCATACGCAGTGTTTCTCTACGATGAGTAACTTTTTCCACATAACATGGCTAATGAAGCTAACGAAGTCCCGTCCGTGCCTTCTATGCTAAAACTTCACTAGCATTAGTTTTGGCTTCTTTGACTTTTCCAAGGCTCCTGTTTATATGCGCACTTTTTGTAAATATTCCGTCATTTATTTACATATCTGCGTATCTGCTGCGCGCACGCCCAATAGAGGCTTGTTGCTGAATAAAAACACGTGAAGGATCTTTTCTTGATTTTACAAAAAAGCCGCTCCTTCCTGGTGAAATGGGTAGCCAGTGCTAAATGCTAACTTTGTGACCCAATGCATTCGCTTGGATTGCATAGACAGGATTGAGGCAGGCTTGTTTTTGTAATAAAGCAAACCCTGTTAGCACGATTAAAGTAAGCTTTCACTTGTAGTTAATCCCGGCGTGACTAACTACCTGTTGAATGGTGATGTGGGTTTTATAATCCTATTTGAACGCTCTGGATTAAGAGGCTTCAATTGTTTACATTTACATTATAACGTTAAGAGGAACTTGCCAGTAATTACGTGTACCATCATTTCAAAATTTTTAAGCCAATGAGCCAGGCATAATGTTGATGTGATTGTATAATTTTCCAATCATACGTTTACTCAATTAGAAGCAGTTTTGTCCTTGTCTGACCTGGTACCTGTAGGAATGTCTCTTAAGTGGCAGATGTCTTTGTCATATTTGATTTAGAAAATAACAAAAAAAAACTTTTATTTGATGGCCATTATGTCTAGAGACCTTTTGTTTTTTTGTTATGTTTCTCAACTTGCTTTGTTTCTTTTTTGCAGCCGTGTCGTGTTACCCTGTAGTGTTGAGGAGGTGAGTACAGTACTACATAAAACACAGACCTCATAACTTTTGTTTGGTCTGTCACTGGATTTGTGTACTACTTGAGTTATTATTTTGGAACCACATTTTCTAGGGCTGTCACTAACGATAATATTAGTAGTCAACCACTCAATGATTATTTTTACGGATGCGTCACCTGGTCAACGGTTAATTTGTGATTTAAAAAACGGTACTGTATGCGTGTCTATCGCGATAACGATATATATCGCGATAGACACGTGTTCAATATCAATAGAAAATGGGGTCGATAGAATGTTTGATAGTTTAACTTCACTCCGTTAGAAAAAAGAGGAAGTAAAGCATTCTTGGCGATGTTGGCAGAGGCTTCTCGACCTAACAGGGCCGAGCATAAACCGCAAAACGTTCTGGGAAATGCAAAAAAACAGTATGACCGCACCATGTGCAGCGTCCATGGTTCTATAGATGGTGTTTCAATGCCGTGTCGATAGTATTTCAAGTCCGTGCGAGGAATAGCGCGTGCGGCGCTGTAGAGGCAGTGTGTACAGCGGCTCGATGCATGCGGCAAAAGCAAGAGATTAACTTTTTCCTCTGGAAGCACGTGAGTCTATCAGAGAGCCGCACGGAGCCGCCACGGGGACACAGACACTCCAACAGCCAAAACAGGAGCTATACCAGGACTAAAGCGGGATTAAACCAGGAATAACAATGGGGGACACTTTGCTTGTGAACATATGCATGGATCTATACTTAGAGATTATAGATCCATGCTGTAGTTATTATTATAATAATAACTGGATGGGGTATTACTAGCTTAAAGGCGCTATACCCGTTTCTACAATGTTTGAATGTTTAGCACCGCCCCCCAACTCGCTTACAGGCTTCTCATTTCCCCTACACTCTCATAACACGGAGCCACCTAGTTTTATTTGCGATCTGATACGTATTCTAACATTAGCATTAGCGTAACTTGTAAGCTGTGCAACAATCACTGATGAAATGGCACTAAAGCAATGCACTGCTAACACAATATATAAGTAAAAGAATACCATTAGTTTCGCGTCCGGATGTATTAATTTAAACATTAGAATATATTCTAATATTTAATTATAATTTATTATACAGCTCCTCACAGCAACAGTAGAACACTCCATTGACTTGAATGCAATTCTTCCGATCATTTTTTCTTGATAACAGAACTCTCAAACCAATAATGACCGCAGCCCCAATGCAATCTCGGTTTGTAATTCAGGTGTGTAAAATACTGCCATTACTCTGCAAGTACAACAAGCTATCAGCGCCTGTCACTACACACTTGTCTGTGTAGAGAAGCCAACGGAGCTAGCGGAGCTAGCCACGCTCAATAAACAACTACATATCTATCAATCAACACCATTAAACGTCAATCGGACAATACAGTATACATATACATCCTTAACACACATGCACGGATGATTTCAGAATTTGCTGTCAACGTTTTCATGACAAAAATACTGCTTTAAAGTGACAAAAAGCGATCGCGAAAAACCCGGAAGTTACCATGAAACAGCTAGCTAGCTTAGCTGTTACCTGCCTAGCATGTCCCGGTGAAACTTTTGGGAGCTAACTATTTTATTCGCAGTCATTAAATACATTTCTAATTATAAGGGTTGTCTAATATTTGTTCAAATATGTATATATTTTTTATTTTAGAATTATATTCGAATTTTGAAGTTGAAGCCCTGGTGTTGAGCAGCGCTGTAGAGGCTAGAGGACGCAGGCTGGTCGCTCCTTGTTCTGTGAGTGGAGGAGAACGAGCGGCCCGCTCAGTCTCTACTCAGAACTTTTCACTGCCTGAATTTCATACACAGTGGAATCAATGACCTCAAGTTTTCAATTAAATGATGTATTATGATACAACTTGTATGTAGTAAAAAGCATTTTTATGAACTACTTAGAAAAAAAATTGGGCATAGCTTCTTTAAAGCTGTCCCACCCACGGGCACAGGGGGCGCCCCCTTGGTACTGCAAACTAAATTCACGTGGGCTACCCAGAAAAAAGTCCCAGAGAACTCAATGTAAATTAAAACAGCTCAACCTCAGCTGACAGAGAACCTACAGCTTTCAGAAATATCGGAATTTGTGGGGATTTTTGTGTCTCTTTATCATTTTCTTCTTAAAGCTGCACTAATTGATTTTGAGAAATTTTCAATCGCGAGCGATGAGCTCCTTCTCTCTGCTCGCCCTCCCCGCACCCACAGAGCTTTGACCCCCCACTCCCCCCTCCCCTGCAGCCTGTGCGCTGTGCTGTTAGCTTCGAAGTTAGCGTCTCACAATATGGATCAATATGGCACTTTTGCCATATTGATCCTCATATACTGAGTTGTGCTAACTCAGCTGTCTGTGCTAACCAGAGACGTGTAGCTTTTCTCAAGAAAGTGGGGGCCAGTGGTCCACTGTGATTGGTCACAATCTGAGACCAGAAACACATTCTCTTCCTTGTTTCATCAAAACTCGATCTAAAATATAATGTCACGCCAGCACAAATCTGCGCTACTTATTCTTCAAAAGTTCTACATGGATATGGATAGCATTTTTGTAATGAATACGAAAATAAAGTCAGTTAGTGCAGCTTTTAGTCATTCGGTTTTCTTTAAATCAACTCCGCTCCTTTCATTCCCGCTATAATATATGGTTGGTTGTTGTATTGGTGCATTACTCCATAAAGGAATTTGACAGTTTGTCAACAATAGCAACAGCTATTTGCGAGTTTTAGCAGTCGACTAATCGTTGCTTCCCTAAAGATAAGAGTTACTGCGTAAAAAACAATTATAAATGAATTGTATAAATCGTGTCCTTCTCTGTGGCCATGTGGAAACTGCTCTGTGTAATTCAAGTGGAGAATTGGTTTAGGGTTAAGTAAATATAAAAATACTTCGAATAATGAAGGCAATGATATCCTCATGGTTCACAGAAAGAAGGTTGCGAGTTTAAATCCCTTGTTGGCCCAGGCATTTGAGTGCAGTTTGCATGTTTCAGACACAGAGACTCAGGAACTCAAGACACTCTGAGGTCTGAGCTAGTAATGACTAGAATTAATTAATTGGGTGATTATTATTAGGGCGACAGTGGCTCAGTTGGTTGAGCCTGAAGGTCATGGGTTCGAGCCCACCACAAGACTTTCTCCAACGACTCCACTGATGTCTGCTGTCGTTGTATCCTTGGGCAAAACACTTAAGTGTGTGTTCAGGATGTGTCACATGCAACATTTATGCATACACGCAGGTTTCATTGCGCCGGCATGAAAAGTCTGAAGACTGCGCTACACGCGCACAGGGAACAGCGCACATTTATGTGAAGCATCTTTGAGTATCCTTAAAAGCGTTGTATACAACCAGTTATTTATTATTATCATTTGCTTCATCCAGCGCACCGTAGCTGATGCGCAACGAGAGAAGCTGGTCAAATCACATGGGCAAACGTGACTGCTGCTCATCGTGTTTTGACCGCGCATCCTTAATAGAAAGAACTTAAAGCTTGTGCATGGTAAAGTAGACCATAGGAAACAGGGCATGACTGTTTCTGACAAATGACATGAGCACAAAGTACTACACATGAACTCACTGTACTTTTACAACATGAGAAACACTACACACGCGCGACTCCCTCGCTGATCAGATAATCACACTCGATAATGTTAGCGTAGCACCTAGCGACACTGTGGGGAATCTTGGAGTCGTAAGAACTCCTTCAAGGCATATATAAACCAAGCAACTACAACGGCCTATTTCCACGTGCACAACATCACTAAAATCATCCTTAATATACAACATTCATGGACATTGGACAACTTCCCCTATGGACCAATACATGAGTTCTATGTTTGACCTGTGAAATACTATACATAAACATGCATGTACTTTTATTGGTAAATGTTGTATGGCAGATTTTATGTGTCAGATTTTGATTTTTTTTTAGCTTGAATTTTTCCGTTTGAAATTTTTAACCCTGAAAAAGCAAGTTTGAATATTTTTATCTTTACTTTTCAGTCACTAAAAATTCAGTTTACAAATTTAAATGTGATTAAAATTTCAAAATGACATATTCACCCTCAAAATATTCAATATTTTTTTTTTTCAATGTAAAAAAAACAGACTATTTGTTCCATCAGAAATTGAATTTTAAATGGACCTGAATTCATCATGCGTCATGTTACTGAGGTAAAGACTGGCGTAGCTTTCAGCAGGTCCATCGGTTGATAACATGAATCTAACAGGTTGATATGGGATTTCTAATGAATGGATTGTAATGAAACCAAGGCGAATAACAAGATGATACTACATTAATTTGATGAGTTAGTCTTTTTGGGTAAATGTGCTCGTTTCAAATCATTATTGCTGTATATTCCTGTTTATTTATTTAGGCTGTGTGTTTGTTTGTTTGTTCATGAAAACCATCACATTTGAACATTTATAGCAACAAAGGTTATTGTTGGTTACGTTACACAGTATTTGGGTCTAGTTTCCCGTGTAGCAGTTTCCACAGGGCTCACTCGTGTTACTTGAAAAAGAGCTCCATGTAAAGGAATTAACAAAAAACATGTATTCCACAGCTTGAACTCTTGTACACTAAATGTTATTTGCTGAGTTGTCTCTGAAATAAAGTAACAACGGTAAGAACACCGTATGGCTGCTTATTTCTTGAGCTGTGAAAAGTTACGTGCTCTTTCGGCTCCACTCGCTTCGTAAACAAAGCGAAATCCTCTCTCTCTCTTTCTTAAAGTGACGGTAACGTAAATATTCTAAGTTAACAAAATCTCCATTAGTTCTAAAGGGTCTAATGTAGATAACGAGAGATTCCAACGTCAGTGAAGAGAAAACAGAGTTCATTATGCGCAGACCAACTGACAGAGCACATAACTCGTCAGAACACCGGATGTGTCATGTGCATTTTTCACCATTGAATTTTTTTCTCGTTGAATTTGACATTATGAAATTGATAATCAGTGACTGAAATTCACAGAAAAAAATATTCAAGATGTTAAAAACATTCAGGTCCATTTTAAAATTCAATTTCTGATGGAACAAATATCAGTCTGGTTTTTTTACATTGAAAAAAAAAAAATTGAATATTTTGAGGGTGAATATGTCATTTTGAAATTTTAATCACATTGAAATTTGTAAACTGAATTTTTAGTGACTAAAATGTAAAGATAAAAATATTCAAACTTGCTTTTTCAGGGTTAAAAATGAGAATTCAAGCTAAAAAAAAATCAAAATCTGACTACACAAAATCTTCCATAACGTTGTCTCTCTCCTTCCAACAAAGTGTGAGTCATTGTGACATTGCTTGAATGAATGGCGTAAATGGGCGGCACGGTGGCTGAGTGGATAGCACTCTCCCCTCTCAGCAAGAAGGTTCTGGGTTCGAATCCCGGTCGGAACAGGGTCTTTCTGAGTAGAGTTTGCATGTTCTCCCCGTGTCTGGGTAGGTTTCCTCCGAGTAATCCGGTTTCCCCTACCACTAAAAACATGTCCAATAGTTGAGGGTGAATGTGGGACAACGGATGCAAATTAGCCCATGGCTACAATCCAGAGTGATGTGTTCATTAACATGTACTGTCCCAACCAAATAAACTATGATACTATATGTATCATGATTTGAACCAAATATGACATTCTGCATCGTAATCCCTTTGCACAAGAGCGAGGTAGATCAGTGCTCAAGGGTTACTGTAAAAGTAGATCTTGGTTTGATAAGCCGTCCCTGGTCTGCCTGGACACATTTCTCTTCGGGAGATTGAAGTGTCCCAGAACCTCATTGGTTTCAGCCTCTGATGAGAGAATATCTTTTTTCTGGTCTTTTCTGAATGATCATTGTCATATGTCATAATGTTGTTAATTTAGTCTTAGCAATTGTGTAATTATAAGGTTTTATAAGATGGATATAGATTATTCTATTGATAATATGGTCATGTTTATTTTTGATTAGCATCTCGCACTTTTTCAATACAGTTGGTTTAGTTGTCTCACATTCAATCTTCAATTGTGCAGTAAAAAAAAAAAAATTGGATTAAATTTCCTTTAAATACTTGGTCTTTGAACAATTTCAACTTTATAATTTCAGCACTAGTTATAATAACTAACAATAAATACAAAGTTGGTTACAATGGTAAAGGTCCTCAAGCTAAAAATTTATTTTGCATGTTTTGCATAAATCATGCTAGTTTTTCCACTTTCTAAATTATCCACTCAAATTTTTATTTTTGCTTACACTCAAACTCACAGGGCTTTTTTTTTGGCCATAAAGTAACATTGTTCAGAAAATGAGCTTGATGGAAATACTGTAGATGGCATATTTGAAACCTGCTGTCACTGGCTCAGTCCGAGTTAGTACTTACATACGACATCATCTAAGACTTGTCACTTCTTTTCAGTATCAAGTGGGTCAGCTCTTCTCAGTGGCTGAAGCAAGTAAAAATGAAACTGGAGGAGGCGAAGGTATTGAAGTCCTGACTAATGAACCGTATGTGGAAAATGGCGTAAAAGGGCAATACACACACAAAATATATCGTATAAAAAGGTAATTCATTTTGTTTCACATGTGCTTGCATAATGGGGCCACTAGGTGGCAGTATTGTTTCAGTAGTAACCTTAAGCATCAATCTTTGTTTTTAACTCTCAGTAAAGTCCCTGGATTTGTGGCGATGCTTGCTCCTGAAGGGGCTTTTGTTTTTCATGAAAAAGCCTGGAATGCATACCCCTACTGCAAAACCGGTGAGTCTGCTGTTAGTTCTTTATATACAGATACACGTAATGAGGATTTCAACCATGTCTTTTTCTCATTTCTCATTTGTGCCTTCCAGTCGTTACGGTAAGTTTAATCCACCTATTGGTTGTTCAACTCTTTACACGTTTTACAAAGTTTTTCCTTTTTAGAATGATTATATGGGAAATAACTTCTACTTAGAAATCAAAACATGGCACAAACCAGACCTTGGAGAGCAAGAGAACGTAAGTAAATTGTTCCTGTATCTGCCATCGTCCACAGGCTTGAATGCTTTGTAACTGATGCTCATGACTTGTAGGTGCACAAGCTGGACAAAGAGACGCTAGCGTCCAGAGTGGTTGTACCCATCGACATCGCAGATTCATCACAGGTGTCTGCAGCTGTAAGTATCGGCCACACAAAATACTCCATCTATGCCCGTCACAATGCAGAGTGTTGGACAGTATTCTGGCTACAATCTTTGTTCTGCCAGTTTTTGTTTTATTTGCTCAGTTGCATAAACTAATATCAGAATGTTTTAGGAGTAAGAAATATTACAGTAGGATTGAATATCTGAAGAAATAACCACTGGAGCACAGTCTGTGGAGAAGTGATTATATCGTCTCTCTTTAAGGGATGCTGTAACCTTTTACAGTTCACCCAGGCACCAGAGTTACAGCTGAACCATGTGTTGTCATAATCCACTCATAAATTGATTCTCTTACCCAGACTGATTAAAGATTTTCTGTTGTGTTTAGGGAGGGCTTTCATCATTGGAACTGGCCACCCAAATAAGACTCATGCAGTGCTCATTTATGATTTACAAATGTAGTCATGGGCATTGTTTTTGTAACCGATCATAAATCCATAAATAAAACTAATCAGAAAAGGCAATATCTACCTAGAAAGTGTTTTTGATCCAATTTAAAATTTGGTTTACATTAAGTTCTTTGATTGCAAGTACATTCTAACCACTAATTCTGGCATAGGACCATAACAAGCGCTAACATATCAGGTGTAATTCAACTTTCCTATTGTAATTCCAGTTAATTTGTGGCAGATTGTTAGAAACCACTTGGCATTTGATGTTATACACGTCTGTAATCCAATATGCACACTCTTTGAAATCTTTGTTTACCAGCTCTGATTGGATTCCCAAGGTTGCCTCTGTAATATATTTATATGCAAGTTTTCCCAAATATTCCTCTTTGAATCATTGAAGTCTTATTTGAAGGGCTTACACATGATTGCTGTTATTCGACATCACATTGCCTCATTTGGCTGCAGCCCCTGCATGTGTGTGTGTTGTGTGCGTTGTGTATTTGCGTGTTTGTTTGCGGTGGGGCTAACGAGGCGGATGTGTGTGTTGTGTCTGAGGGCCTTATCAGCCCTGAGCCTGAGGCGAGGCTGCAGGGCCTGGAGCGGACCGCCAGCACACATGAGTTTGTTAGTGTAATTAAGGCGCACACTGCTCCTAACGCACACATGCTCGTGCGCGCGTCGTACCAAAGGAGGAGGTGCGCTTCGTCTTCGCGCCACGTTGACTCACAGAGCTCATTATTGCGCTGCAGACGATTGTTATAGTGATGGAGCGTTCTGCATTAAAACTGCAAATAATTGTGTGTGCTTTGTAAGTGGAGATGGTGCTTGCTCCTGCTACGCAGCGCTCTCCCCCTGTTGTCCAATAGCCCTGAAAAGTAGCTTTCAGCTGGAGGCACATCATGATTTATTTAAAATTGTTCAGCCTTGAGCTGTTGATAATTTGAAAGTCCTTTTAATTTATTTGTATTGCTGTTTTCTTTCCTCTTTATACTTTTATTGACCATCTCCTTTTGTGTGAAGGACGCATGTCACAATAGCGAGTCAGTTTGTATTATCAGATGTAAACTTTATGATCGTATTGTCAATTGTATGATCTAAAAATTGGCAAAGTCCCATTGTGAGAATATTTATAAACACTATCTTTTATGGGTTTTTTTTCCCCAGGATTATAAATCTGATGAGGACCCAACTATATTTAAGTCGGTGAAGACTGGTAGAGGACCCCTTGGACCCAACTGGAAGGTGCACTTCTTTATTATTTTGATTTGATAAAAATGTATATAACAAAAATAAATAAAGTTGAAGATTTCACAAAATTTTAACCTCAAGCATTATTCTAGAAACAGCATTTTAGTCTTTTGGTGGAGCCCTCAAAGTTCACCACAGGAAAGTTTCCTCTGCCTTAAAACATCGAACAAATTTGAAAAAACAAAGGTGTTTTTTAAGTCTGAATAAAAAGCACAACTTGCATTTTGTGTTTTTAATTAGATCACTTTCTCATCCGCTGTGGACATAGAAAAAGACTTTTGAAAAGGTGAAAAAAGTAGTTATGTGACAACAGAGGCACAATTTCTGCCAGCTTCTCAGAGCAATAAAACTCTTGTCTATCTCTGCATGCACACATGCTCACATATCAGTACCCTTTGTATTTCTGAAAACTTGTGCTCCTTTGAGTGGGGCACATAGAGGGAGAGAAGAAATGTCACCGTAAGTGTTTTGATGTCAAATCCGTTTCATGTGAAGTTCTCCTTTAGCGATGACAACTTTTCTAAACCCACTGCAAATTTAGAAATGCATCTCGTTTCCTCTGCCGCTCTTCATGATCGCAATATCAAACGGCGGCGGGATGAGGGTGATTGAGGCGGGTCTGTGGCATTTCTGGAGAATGCTGTGCAGAATGAAGTGATTAATTAAACAGGTGTTCTCGGAGGGCGAGCAGGGCCTCGCTGTTAATAATGTAAGCAGCTTTGCTGCGCTGCACCCCTCTAACATTACAGGAGCTGTTTCTTCTGCCTCCGTGGCCACAAAGGCTTTTCTTTTGGGAACTTTGTCGCTGTCAGGGTGGAGGCTGCCAATTGGTCTCTTCATCTAGAGTTTATATCCACTTTGCTCCACCTCAATCCTCCCCTCGTCTGGTGAGCGTGAGCTGCCGTCAACTTCCCAAAACATCAGTTTGAGTACGGCATATCTTATAATGTCAATTTATACTTCCTCAAGATTGGCCAGTATAAATGTATCCCTTTTTGTTTTGGTGTTCTCATGTTGATCACTATCTCTTCTTTCACCCTCTTCTTTCTTCCACAGAGAGACTCAAGTTGCCCCAAAATGTGTGCCTACAAGCTGGTGACGGTGAAGTTTAAGTGGTGGGGACTTCAGAATAGAGTGGAAAACTTCGTCCATGAGGTCTGTGGCGAGCTGTACATTTAACGTAAAAGTCAGTTCATCACGTGATTTGTGACTGTTTGTTTTCCAGCAAGAGAAGAGAATTTTTAATAACTTTCACCGCCAGCTCTTTTGCTGGATTGACAAGTGGGTCGAGCTGAGTATGGATGACATCAGACGGATGGAGGCGGAGACTCAAAAGGAGCTGGAAGAGGTGAGTAGAATGTGCTGTTGCTGTTGGATCTGGCCTCTCTTCCTCTTCATACTGCGTGTTCTTTTATAATCCATACAATCATTTTTCACTCACACCTATGAGCTGTAATAAACCATGATTATTTCTGTGATTGCTTTTATTCTAATTTTTGCCTAGATGCGTAAGAAAGGCAGTGTGCGGGGCACAAAACCGGGAGAGGAGTAGCTTTGGCTGTAGTGTTATTGGGCTGTAAGTTCTTTGCTAATCTTTCTCTCTGGGCTGCTTCATGTTTTGTCTGTCTGCCGGCCCACACTCATTGCTTTTGCCTGGTGATTTCTCTCATACATGTCTGCACAAAAAGGTATCAAGCAGGACCAAAATAATAAAGTTTCACTCCTGGCTGTGAAACTCAACATGCTTTCTTCAAAGAATGTTGAGTAAATCCTTTTCTCCAGAACTTCCAAATAAAATGGTTTCAGTGTGCCTAAAAAACGTCGTTCGATTGTTCTTGGAAAGGCTTTAAACATCATTCTTGAAGTTTTGGCTGCACAAGGAGAGAAAAGAGGAATCTGACCCGGACTGGCCAGAGTTGACCAGACATTCCTGGCTCCTTCCCAACATGCAGCATTTAGTGTTTGGCCTGCCCCTCCACCTCACCCAATTCACCATGTGTTTCCCATTTTTGCTGAAGAAAGTAAACATGTGGGTACCATCAAAGTGCTGTGGCGAGCAGCTGAACCTGGGTGTAAGAGTCGGAGAGGTCATACGCTGAATGTGGTGTCCTCACAGATGACCACCTCGGCACTGCTGGTGCTTCTCACCATTTACTGTGGACTGGTGTAAAATGAAGGACAGAAAAAATGGGAAATGGGGTTGGTTTTAAAATGGTCTTTTTCCACATTAACATACAAATGGGTTTCTGTGGTTCAGAAGAAGCCTGCTCTGAGATTGAGAAGGTTGGTGGTGTAGAATCCTTATACATTTTCATCAGATGTGTCCTATCTTCTGTTTAGGACCAGGGATAGTTTGAACTTTTCAATTAGAGGATTTAGTCTTGCTATTCCAACATTAATTGACTTTCTACAGCTGTCAGCCTAAGGCTAGACTCAGTTTTAAGTGATGCCTTTCTTCATTGTGGCAAAACAGACTGGTTTTTAAGTGCAGGGTAGGTGAATTTAAAGGTTTTAATCAATAACAATTTGAATACATTTTCCTTTTAACTAATCATTTGAAATGCATTACTTATCATTGGTCTATAATTCTAACATTTATAGCTAACAAACTAATGTTCTGACCATTTTAATTTACTTTTTGTTTTGTGTTATCCCCCATAGCTTCGTAAAAAGGGTGCTCTACGAGGAACCACTGCTGCAGATGAATGAAAGCCGTGGATTTAAAAACCAGCTTCTCTGATACCACATTTTACCTGATTAAATGATGTTGGCCATGGAGGAGGGGCTCAACTACACCTGAAATCACTAGAGCAGATCCCAGAGCATTAACCAATCCTATTTTATCTACAGATGAATTGATTTTCTTACTCTCACGCACGCAATCCTAGCTGACAAGACTGCACTGAAGTCCGGTTAATTCTGATTTACGTGGCCAAATAAACAGTCCGCACCATGATGGTAGGCGATCCCTCTACTCCAAAGAAACGGCAACTGATTATCTTTTTGATTCCACATTGCAAGGCATTGGACCATTTCTCCCTGCATCTGAATCATTCCCAATACAAGGATGTCTTTCCATGACCTGCCTTGCTGCTCTCATGATGTGCAGTGTTGCATTCCTTGGCATGAATGTGTCATACTCATGTTCTTTCCTGCCACAACCTCCATTTAGGAGATTACTAACACTCTTGGCGTCTTAGCCCCATTGAAACACCTCCCTCCCCTCTATCCCCGCGCACATCACTCCCCGGCCTTTCTCAGCGCACCACTTCTTATTAACTCTGACAATCATGCCCGGACAGGTATCCCACTTAATAGAAATTTACACAAACTGTCCGTGACATACATGCAAAAGTCTCCCAGGTGTGGATGCTTTCTTGGTGACTGAGTTGGGCAGATCTGTGCATGCTCGCTCCTGGATATTGCCTCCCTGGTGTTTACGGCAATCACACAAGCCCACCTCTCGCACGCCCTGACTGCACTCCTCCTCATTTTGGAGACGTTTGCGCACACATTGCGGCGTTCAACTCCCCTAACAGATGTCCCCAGAGAGAGCGAGGGGAAAAAACTCACTGAAAAACAGCCACAGATGGTGCTACACCCCTCCAGCCTCTGTCACAAGCCAAACCGCACCTTGCCGTGCACGCCCCAGAGACGCGTCTTACTCATCTGGCTCTACCAGTGTGGGACCAGTTGACCAGACGGCTCAACTATTAACTTTGTGTTTACAGATGAACGCCTTATGATGCTCCTTAAGCACCAGCATCACATGACTATCTGCCTTAAAGGCCGCTGTCCTAACCTGTTTAAACCTTTGCTGTTTGTCAATGCTACCTCCCTTTTTTTTACTACGTTTTCTTTACACACTTTGGCTTTTAGAGCTAACTGTTCCAATTATGGCATGTTCATTGCAAGGTCCTACTTTGCAAAGTCTTTTCCAAGCAAGTGCAATTGTTAACCAGGCTCATATGTCTGCGCTGCTGCCAAAACTTGACACATGCACTATGTGTCTGTGGTGGCTAAACGAGAGTCTTTCTTTGTGCCTCAAACCGGGACATGTGGAGGTGCCACATTTTTGCGTCGCTTCAATCATGTAGTGTTTTGACTGTATACGGCCTAAGCTTTGACGGTTTGTAAATGGGAGTTTGTTTTGCAGTTTTCCATTCAATGATAAAATATTTCCTTTCATAGATATTGTCATTCCTAATTTCTTCTAGGGCTGTCCCAAAGAGAGTGAATGGTTTTGCGCGTGTTCTCGTGCTCAGTTTAAGCAGATCACTTTCCGGAGCGTTTGCAGTGGTATTTTAAATGGATGATATACTCAGGTGAACATCTATACTGTAATGTTGCCTTTATTTGTGTCTGTGCACTGTTATTGTAATGAGCAGACTGCCATAATTTACAGTTTACTACTTTCCACTGTCCATATCATAGTTGCCAAACACGCTGACACTTAAATTGGTCTTTGCATTTCAGAGAGTGGCAGTCTCAAACGTAAGCTGTAAAACTAAAAGGCAACAGTTCAATGTTTTTTAGGATTCATGTTATCCCAATGTTGCCTTTTACAAAGTAAATGTAAGCAATTAATTTATGAAATTAATAGAATTTTTGTTCTGAATGTCCTCATTTGAAATCGACTTTTTAATTCAGGGGATGTGGTTTTCTCTTCCTGTGAGTCAAAAATTGTATCAAATTATATAAATAAAATTCACTTTAAAATGTAGATCAATTTGCATTTTCATTTTTGCACCTTTTATCAATCAAACTGGTATTATGGAAACGACGCTAGCATCAGCCCGAGTTATTGGTGACCCATCTGACCTGTAGTCCAGCTTCACAATAACAGCGGAATTGGCGCTAAAGTGCAGGAAAAGCCAGAGTCTGTTGGCTGAGATATCCACCTATTTATTGTTTGCAGCGGAACAGTCACATGTGGCCACACTGAGGAAACCAGCTCTATCTGCCCCAGAACAAGCAAATGATGCAGTTTCTAAAAGAGGAGATGGACAGCCTCGCCCACACACCTCCTGTTCGCCTCTGTGGCAGACATGTGTCCATGCAGCAAAGACTGAGATGTAAGATCTGCTTAAATATAGGAGCAGGTGACGCATCATGATGCTTGTATAACATGCATACATTTCATACTTAAATTCAGCAAAAGGGTGAAGGAAAGCGGTTGAAAGAACATTATGAATACTAAATTGTTGATGAAATTAGGTACAAAAATGTAGACTATGATCATTTACTAAACCCCAGACTTAGTTTTGTACACCTCCAAAATAATAACCTAAATTTACTCTTTTACGTGTTTTGGAATATCTCTAAAAATAATTCACTTTTCAATATAATTTATATCTAGTTGTCTTTTCATACTTGCAATCTCACATTAATCTGAAACTTGCATCACTGAATTCCCTCTTTCCCAGATCTGATGTTTTTGGAGGAAGTTCCTTGTACACTGTTTGCGTTTCTGATCTCCCCTGTGCCCAGATATGTAGAGGCGCCACAGGTTTTCTCAGTACGAGGCGGTTATTTTTGGCCTAAAATAAGTCTGCAGTGATGTCAGGCGGCGTTTCCTCATCCTCTGTGCCCAGGTCAAGTTTAGCCTCCAAGATTTCTTTCCTGTTGTTGTGAAGATTTGGAGCCAGCCTATGAGGAGGACAGTGGTGCTCCAAAGGGTATAGCATCCTCCACAAGTGTTCTTGAGATGACAGATGCTACTTAACCTGTCCTGACCCAGGACACTGAGATGGCCCAAGTGAGTGACAACCCAAAGAGACATGGCAGCCCAGGGATGGAAGGTCCTCAATAAGGGAAGGAAATGTCTGCACACTTCTCTATCTATAAAGTACTCTAGACACCCACTTCTGTGACTGTCTTATTTGGTCACCTATTAAGACAGATTAAGGTAAGTTGGTTGTGGAGAAGGCCTGCAGTGGAATTATGTTTCTCTGGTGTCTGTCTGGACCAGTCATGGGCAAACCTTTCCTCCTATTGGGCATTGGAGTATCAGCCTTCTGTATGGGCCACAATGTTTTTTTTCTCAGGTTTAATTGTTTACACATAAATACACTATATTAAATACTAGATGTTGTGGCAGACCAAGAAGTGCGACTGCTGATCTAGAGCTCTGCACACAGGGATGATAGTCTCTATACTGTATCTACTGTATATAAACTGAGGCGCCCTCAGGGGCCTGACAGAAACAGCCTAAGGGCTGCATCTGGCCCACGGGCCGGGGTTTTTCCACGACTGGACTGGGCCATGATTGAACATGGAGAGAAAGCTTGTGATTGGTGCTGGTCAGAAGGGCCTCCATCACTTTTTATATTGTTATTGATATTAAGTTATTGGTTTTTCTACAGCAGACCATTGTAAGTTAGCGATGGAATTACCTTGACATGTTTGACAATCAAGGATTAGGGTCTTACGATTTATCTGATATAGAATAACTTAATCCACTTAAAGACGAAATGAACCTTCGTACTATATTATTTATATTATATTATATCAATTATCATCCACATCAGAGTTAAATGTGAAAAGTGCTTTTAAGTAACTTCATTTATTGGTCTGCAAAAACTTTTTGCACTTTTTTTTGCCAAAGCTGCAAGACATCAAACTCAAAACCAATTAAATAAATCAAGTTGGTCTACTATATAATACGCGCACGCGCATACACACACACACGCGCACAAACACACACATATATTATATATATATACATATATATATATATATATATATATATATATATAACTGTACGGTATATCCATTGACACTAAGACATGTAGACTAAACATACCATTATCATATATGGATTTACAAACCAATACTATTTTTCTTAGGGTGTTTTTATTGAATGTGATTATTTCTATCATTGATAATATTATTAATGTTAGTGTTTATTCAAGAGTCAAATATTTTCCCTTAAATACGTTTAAATGTGTATTTTATTTTATTTTTATTTTTTTTAGGAAATAAATGAGATTTCACTTCTCTAAACTTCTGATGGTGAGATTGTAGCATGGATGTCTTGTGGTCCCACACTTGCGTCTCGCGTTGACCGCTAGATGGCACTGTGTTTGTTTGCTAAATTCATTCATATTTCCAAGGCGCGCGTCAAACAGACCAGCGGCCACCTCTCACAGAAAGAGAAGGGTAAAGAGGCAAAATAATGATGTTGTATCAAATGACTGGACTTCAGCAAATAAGAATATTCCAAAAGCAATCATTTAGATAAGATTGACATGATTTTTACCAACTTTTGTATTAATCGGCTATCATTGATTCCTGTTTAGTGTGGCCAATATATTCCTAAAACATAGGGTCATCCCTCTTGAAATTTGACTCACAGTGGTAATTGCAGTCGTCTCTATAAATAAGCCATATTATTTATAGACCTAATTTGCTAGTGCATCACTGTTCTACTGTAAAGACTACTATAATGACAGAAAACCATTGATTATTGAATGTGCGGTCCAATCACCTCCATGATTTAGTTTTGTCTTCTAATGGGCTTGTTGAGCTAGTCTGAAAAATACAAAAAAGTCAATTTATACTTAACAATAATCATAATGTACTAAATAGGCGTTTAATAACTGGTATGTGAACTAAGCCAGTGTTTATTACTATTCTGCATGTCTTTCATTGTTTCAACACAAACAAGGCATTGAAAAGACTCCTACTCAAGCCCTAAAACAGTCTGAGCTGCACAAGCATTCAAGCATAGCAGATTTTGGGTTTAGGTAAAAGAAAGATCACAGTTTCGCACAGATTATTACAATTTATTGGGCTTTGTGGACGACCTTAAAAAGTGCTTGTCCCGCCCTCCTGCGCCTGTGATTGGCTACAGCTTCGCGGATGGAAGCGGCTGCAGAAATGCAAAACTTGTTGCTGGTTCGTCTGGACGCGCTCATCTCACACAGCGCAGCGCCTCACAGCAGAACGCGTTTGTGAGTCTCTCCCACTGCTCTCACCAAAACAGACGCGACACACGGAGACACGGGGAAGTCAGCATGTCCCCGGGACCTTAGATCACACAGTACGTCAGTAAGCGTCGCACCCGGCATCACTGCGAGAGGCTGGGGACGCGCTTTATCCACGCACCGGACACTATTGGGACCGGACCGCACTCTGGACTTTAAATATCACGGGAGTTTTTGGTCACATGCCTCCTCTGAAGTTTTGAAGGACATTACTTCGTGCTTATAATGTACATGATAACGGAGGTATAGTCCACTTTGACTTTTGGTCTTTCCACGATGGGATCTTTAACAAAAAGTCGCTCCAGGACAATTTCCACTGGACAGGAATGTTGAAACAGAAGTGGGTATTATTCCACTTGTTTTAGACAATGTTTTTGTGCCAAGAAGAAACGCTTATATCGAAACATTTTGACATCTCAAGCGTGCGTAAAAAGTACACGTATTATGTCAATTTTCGGACGTAAAAACGAAAAGGCGAGGATACCGGTTACGAGCGCACTTGGACATAATCGATCCCCTTTTTGCCTCGCACCTTTGGAAACACACACAATTGTTCTGCAGCATTGAGAAGAGATCTGGTGAGTGGTGATAGTTTCTTTTTAAAATTCTTATTTATCTTAGTCCTACAAGCACGTTTAAATAGTTGTACTTTTTCTGTTTGTTTGTGTTTTGGGAACAGACGGAGTAGAAGACAGCGCGCGGATGTCTGGCAAAGCAGCCGTCATGTGGGATTGATTGCAGGGGAGTATGTTTGGGCTGGAGCAGTTCGGTTCCCAGATTAATAGCAGAAACCCTGGCCAATCCGAGAGAAACATAAACCAACCAAGACTGAACATGGGCTCCCACTATAAAAGCCCCGGCTTTCACGCTGGAGGCCCACCGGGAGCCGTGGAGCCCGGTATGGGCCCAATGAGCGAGCCCCAGATGCTCAATCTCAACATGAACATGAACGGAGAGCAATACGGGGGTTTCCACCCGAGACCCCATTCGGACATGCACCCTGGGGGACTGCAGCAGCAGGGACCCATGCATGGATTCTTTAACAACCAGCAACCTCACCAAGGACACCCGCATGGTCACCAGCCTCATCCCCAGCAACACCACCCTCACTTTAGCGGAACTTTTGGCCCAGAGTCAGGCTCTTCATGTCTGCATGGAGGCAGACTTATGGGCTACAACAACAATGGCATGGGACCACAACAAGGTTTTGGAGAGGGATTTGACCCTCTCTCTGAGGGGCAAACTGGAGAAAGTTTTCCTCAGCAGCAGCGGACTGGTAACCTCCCTGACTTTCAGCACCATGGTCCCCCCAGTGCTGTTGTTCCTGCCCCCTGTCTTCCTCTTGACCAGTCTCCTAACCGCGCAGCATCTTTCCATGGACTCCCTTCATCCTCTTCCTCAGAATCCCATGGCATAGAGCCCCGGCGGATGCCCAACCAGGGTGCTGTCGAGGGATTAGAATATAACTTTCCCAGTGAGCCTCCACCTGGACATTTTGATGTTCCTGTTTTTTCACCATCTGATTCAGAGTCACAACTACCCCATTTTGGCCCTGGGCGACCGGTTCCCAGTGGAAATTTTCCTCCTAACCCTGGCATGCCCCGGACTCCAGGTATGCAGAATATACCTAAAGGACACCAGCCCCCACAGCCTCAGCAGTTTTTTGAGCGTTTTGGAAATGGTCGAAAGGTGCCGGTGGGAATAGAGCCTGCGGTCAATGCGAGACATCCTCTCATGCAGCAGCAACAACAGCCTGGTTTGATAGGCAGGCAGAATTCCTGCCCCCCTGGCCTCCCCCGACCCCCTCAGGCTGAACCCAACTCTAACCCCAACATTCTAGACAGTGGGGTCATGATGCCTGGCCAACACAACCAGTTTGAATATCCCATTCATAGACTAGAAAACAGAGGTCTGCATCCTTATGGGGACCCCATGTTTAATATGCAACAGCCTGCTCCTCCTCCCTCCCAACAACCTCCAAACCAGCGGCTACAACACTTTGACTCCCCTTATATGAACATGCCCAAAAGACCCAGATTTGACTTCCCAAATGCACATGGCGGTGAAGGATGGTGTGGGGGGATGGACAACCACCTATCCCCCTCAGCCTATTCTGGGCTGCCCGGTGAGTTCACCCCTCCCGTAAATGAGGGTTTCCCCCCAGGGCCACTCCAGCACCCAGGCCCAGAGCAGCAGTCTTTGCAGCAGCGACAGAATGCAGCTATGATGATAAAACAAATGGCATCTCGAAACCAGCAGCAGAGGATGAGACAACCCAGTTTACAGCAGCTGGGTCATCATGGTGACATGCCTCCAGGTCCTATGAGTCACCCTGGTCCAGTTGGGAGCTTGTCCCAGGCCAACTTTGATAGGGAAAATGGTGGCAGGGTTCCCAATATTGATGGACAGAATCCTCACATAACTCAGGAGAACTCCTGGTTTCAGGGCTCCCACCCACCAGGGGAGATGATGTCACGCCGTATGGGTGGCGCTAGCAATGAGGCAGGGCCCCATGACCTGGGAATGCAGCAGAGTGGGGCTGGGATGATGTTTAGGCCTGGCATGGGCATGCAGGAGCCCATGAGAATACCAGGGGACGTCCAAGCTCTCCACTCCCCGGGCATGCACTCACAGTTCAGTGGTAATATGGGTAACCTCACCCAAATGCAGTCTCCAGGAGCAGGTCACCCCAACACTCCATCAGAAAGGAGGCCTGCTGACTTCTCTGGACCTCCAATGGGAGGTCAGCCAAACTACCCCTATGGAGGGGCTAACCGCCAGGGGCCTGCTCACTCCGCTCCTCAGGGGGTGAGCACCTCACCTGGGAGCTTCCCTTCTCAGTCTGAGTTTCCCCCTGGTCAGCGCTCCTCTGTGAGTAAGCTGGGAGCACTGTCCCTTGGGAACTTTAGCAAAACCAGTTCTAAGGACAGTGTTTTTGGCCAGAGCTGTCTGGCGGCCCTCTCTACGGCCTGTCAGAACATGATTGCTAGTCTAGGAGCCCCCAATCTTAACGTAACATTCAACAAGAAGAACCAAAACGAGGGCAAGAGAAAACTGAGTCAGACAGAGCAGGACATTAATAGCAGCACATCTAATGGGACTGGCAGTGCTGGTCCGGAATATTTTCAGAGCAGTACTTCCCAGAACAGCCAGATGCCTGGCCCCGGGAATAGCAACTCTAAGCCTGCCAGTCAAAGCCAGACGGTGCAGGGGGAAGCCAGTGCCCTCTCCCCAAATTACAACATGGACGCTACCCCGTGCAGTGAGGGGAAAGCAACAACAGGGAGTGGGAGAGGGAGAGGGAGGAGAAAAAGAGACAGTGGACATGTAAGCCCTGGAATTTTTTTTTCCTCTGACAATGGTAACCCTGTTGTAAGTCCAGGCCAGCAGACCCCCACAGCTGGCATGGGAGAAAGGGGAGGGGGCACCCCTAATGAGAAACACCTTCACTCACCATCCTGGGGTAAAGGAGGCGACCTGGTTCTGGGGGATCAGGCTGATTTGATGTCATCTCTTGACAGTGGAATTCAAAGTGTGGCCAAGTCTGACAGCAGCTCTCCACGAGTGGACTTTCCTGACGATGTCAGTGCCCACTTCGGCAATGAGGACGAGGTGTCCTCCAGCTCCGATGCTGGAGGGGCCTCGGCCAGCAAGTCTAACCGCAGCCCCATGCTCACCGGCTCTCCTAAAGTGCAGAGAGCTGAACATGGGCTGATAAACGGACAGAAGCCCTTGGGCATTAACAATCACACTACCTCGACACCTGACAGCTATGGACTAAACAGTGCCGGCACTGGTGGAGTCAGCCACCCGGGCACTCCTGGGGGGGAGCAGGTACGCACACCTTCCAGCACCTCGGGACAGGACGAGATCCACCCTTTGGAGATCCTCCAGGCCCAAATCCAGCTCCAGCGGCAGCAGTTTAGTATCTCCGAGGACCAGCCGCTGGCCATAAAAAATGGCAAAAAAAACGGTGACTGTTCCTCACAGAATGAAGACAATGAGCTCGCGAGCTGTAGCCCGGATGCAGCGAAGGGCTCAATGGGCACTATTGACCTTGACACCCTGATGGCAGAGCAGCACGCCACCTGGTACGTGCCCAGTGACAAAGCCATGATGGACGGCTCAGAGGACGACAAGGCCATGGGACCCTGGGAAAAGAACAAGATCCAAATAAACTCAAAAGAAGGTAAGAAAACTTTATACTTCAATATTACAGACTTTATCTCGTCTTGTATTTTGTGCCATTGAATGTATTAATATATACCAAAACACAGAAACCACAAATTTGCAACTTTTCTTATTTATTTATTTACAAATTAATACAAACAAAACAACTATAGCTATCCAACTCTAAATATATTTGCAAATAATTCAATTCATGCTACAATGCTAAATAAGCCTTAACAAGCATATAACTTCAATGCTGCTGTGTCAAATGAAAAGCTACAGTAAAGTAAACATATCCCGTGGTTCTTTATCTCAGTTTTCAGGGTGAACAACTGCATTGAGAAGATGAATAGCTTTTAGAGGTTGTGCACTCGCACAAGGGTTTCTCTGAATGTGTTGGTTTTTCTTACTGACAGACAATAGGTAGTCAGATATTAAGAATATTATTTCTGATTTTCAACTCTAATTTGTACCTTTAGAAATGTGTCTAATTATAATACATCTGCTTGTGATGCAGTAAACAAAAACTTGCATTTGTGTAAAAATGTGGCTCCAATTATATTATTATTATTATTATTATTAATAATAATAATAATAATAATCATAATCATAATCATCATGTAATAATAATAAATATTATTATTATTATTATTGTCATATTAATATTTTTAGTAATAATAATAGCCCGATTTATAAATGAGCCATATTAATGAAATTAAATCTATAATTGTCTTCTCAGTATGTCCTGTAGGCTGCCTTTATTATATTTGTCTTATTCTGCTCTAAATGGGTGCGGGCTCCTCAGTGCTCGCCGTCTCTTTAGGCGCGTCTTTGTTCATGGGACTCAGCTCCAGCCGCTTTGTCTGCGTGCGTCAGTGCGTGTGTCCAGTGCGCCGTGCGCGTGCGCGCCACACGGTCGTCTCCACAGCTCCTTCTGTGACGCTGCTGTCTGTGGTCAGCTCTGCCGCGTGCGCACAGTGACATTACGTCAATTTGAGTATATGTCGGTGAACTGACCATCAGGTTTAGTCCAGGACCCGAAGTCGTGCTTCTCCTTGACGTGTGGGAGCGTGAGGGAGCGTGTAGGAGCGTGAGGGCGCGTGAGGGAGCGTGTAGGAGCGTGAGGGAGCGTGAGGGAGCGTGTAGGAGCGTGTAGGAGCGTGAGGGATTCGCCCTCACGCACGGAGCTCCTGAGCCGCGCCGCTGTCTGCAGCACGGCGCATGCAGCACTATGGTCTGGATCGATAGCTAGTTAGCACAAATCACGGATCCTGACAGTTTCTCATTTGAGTGCTTCAGACAGCGCAGATGAAAAAGGGTGGAGGTGTATTTGGGAGGGGAGGGGGCTGGAGATTGAATCTGATGCGTGTGCTATACTGAAGCAGCTAAGTAACATAATCTTTTCAGATAAGTCTCACCGCACACTTCTTAAACGCGCCCAAACGCCTGGATTCACTTCTTTCTCAAAAATCTGTTATTCCCCAGTTAATAAGAACAACGACAAACCATCCACTTACAATAGGATTGTGTCAGCTGTTCATTTTAAAAACTGAAATGGAGTGCTAAATGTCTTCTAGGTCCAGTACAAATACTTTGTCAGGCTAATATTATAAGGCATCTGCAATTACATTTGAATACACTGTTTTGTTCATGTATAAAAATAATTCTTATTCTAATCTATCCTTGTCACGTGTTTTCCAGTGGTCCTTTTCTAAGCTATTTATTATTTTATGTTTTAAATTAATTTGAAACCTGCGACATTTTAGAAAATAAAACATTTTAGTTTTATTCAGTTTAAGAGTTCAGTTGCAAAGTGTGTCACAGAAATCAATAATACATTTTACATGTCACATTTTTATTCAATCCCTCCATTTATTGTTTATTAGAATACTTTTAAGCATTATCTTTAATAAAAACCCTTGCGTATTAAACTTAAAACAAGCTCTAAAATGATCTGTTTATTTATTTATATAAACTCCTCCTTCTCGTCTCGCACTCGAAGCTCTTTGGAAACTTGCGCAGAGTCTTAATAACAGTTGATCTGCGAGTGTAGGAAGTGATACGGTTATTTTTACTTTCTCCTTGGCACACCATTGTCCTCGCACCAAACAGTTTTTAAAAAGACTTCAGATCTGACCCTTTGGAATATTTTTACGCTTCACAATCAGCAATCAGTCGCGTCAAAATAATGATCAAATCCTTGTCAGTCTGCGTTTGACAGTTTCCATGAAAGGGAACTTTGCTCTTATCACGAGCCGTTCTAAACCGCTTAAATCCACAGAAAGCCGCGTATTGATATTCCTGCACTCCGAGCAATCCTATGAGACTACTACCTTCCTTTGACATTTTCGTCGTGACAATAACCCTACAAATCACAACCCCCAATTTCTATTTCCCTGCTAAAAAAAGAAGAAAGTGATTGGCACATGCTGGAGATGAAAAAAACCCAACTGCTCTGGGCACTTTTATGTTCTTTACCTGTCATTACAAGGTGTGTTATATCGACTATTTTTTCTTGTCTTTTTTTCCCCCAGCAACACTCTCATGCGCTCTTTTTGTGCACTGCTATTCAGAAGGTAATCATTTTGACAATCGTGGAGCAATTAGTCCTGGTTATATTCTTTCCAAAAGTCATTATTCTCCCCTCAAAGTTACAACATGGAGAGAAGCAGGGAGAGAAGAGAGAGTGGAGAGAAGCAGGGAGTGTGGAGTGTGGAGTGTGGCTTTTTGGGGCTGCGGTGCTCAGCAGCTTTGTACACACCGACACTTGATAGCGCAAGGATTAGGAGACATTAGACGTACAGTTTGATTTATTTACACTCTGGTCTCGAGTGTCCAGTTTTTTTTTCAAAAGCTCTCTCTCATTCCCTTTTGGTTAGACCCATTTACTCCTGTCCTCGCACCCAGACTTGTGTATGTTGCTTTGAAATACATACATACATAGTAAAAATAAATACGCTCTTTTAAATGTTGGTTGGTTAAGGCCTGTGTGCACAAGTAATTATACAATTCTTTAAAAGTGAAGCTCTAAAAGCGTGGTTGCACATGGGGTGAGTGATTATTGCCACGTGAGGTGTATTTGGGGACTGTACTGACCACGCATTATTATTATTATTATTATTATTATCCTTTATTCTTTCTTTCCTGTTTGTATTTTGTTTGCGGAAAATATAGTATTAATTAAATCGTAATCAAAAATCAGCGACTCAGCCTTTATGAAATGTAAAGTGTCATAACAATAATCTTTCCCGGACAGTTCCATAAAGACTTGGATCATACTACAAGAGGAATTCATAAAAATATAAATGGATTTAACAATGTTGGCTTATTGTTAACAAAAAAAAGCACATGTGATCCTCACTGTCGTATCAAGTCAGACGCTGAGAAGCTTATTGCTTAGTATCGAGTTTGAAATGCACTAATTTTATGTCAATTATATATCTGTTGTATACATTTTTTGCGTAATTTTTTTAAATTTTTATTCATTTATTTATTGTAAACAAAACAAAAAGCAAACAACAGGTAACACTCCGAAATAAACAGGCTTTATCCATCCCACCCCCAATCTAACCAAACTCATACATTCACTCTTTCAAAACTAAATTGTCTAACAAATTTTAGCTGCTCTTAGTGTAGTCCTCATCATCGTAACATTTCAAAGTTTCACATTTTTAAAACAGCAACACAATCACAAAATCAAAATCCACAGTGATAAAAATCTACATGAATAAAAATCCACAGTAATAAACATGTTTTTTGTGTGTATAGTAACGTAGAGTGGAAATAGCAGGAACATGAGAAGCCGCTCTTTGTGTTGACTTTCTTCCGCGTTCAGCTGCAGCAGGCTCCGTGCGAGAGGCCCCAAAGAGAGCTCTGAGATGCTGCTCTGGCTCTGGCTCTGAAGCAGTGGGTGTTTCAGAGGTGTAGATGTTGTCGTGCTGCCAACTGCAGTTATGTTATTTGCCATACAGGTAGTCGTCAGGCACCTTTAATTTGTATAGAGGACTTGACAAATGAGTTATGACACCGTAGCTGTTCCTCCTCAGAGACACAGGCGATGACTGATGGAGTGAAAGCAAAGTAGTGCGATGGTATTTTTGGTGCAGGAAACGTATGTTTGTATGTATGTATGTTTTGCCGCAAGCTTTTATTGCATTTATGAATGAGATCATTTAAGATACAGCCACGGGATTTACCTATTCAGAAGGTATTTTGACTTTTCCTAATTTTGCCCTCGTACAGCATTTTGTGCAATTGTGTAAATATTAGCGGTTACACAGGTGCCCATAAATCTTTAAATTACCACAAGACTTGACCTCTTCTCAAAGGTCGTACATAGCAAAGGTTTTACGGAGTGTGTAGCGCCACTTTAAACAGAAAAGACAGGGAACTAGATCAATATGTCAGTGAGTCGCATGACATGACGGACAAATGTGGGACAAGCAGTGAGTTATGAAGGAGATCCTAAATCACACTGTCCCATGTTCGGTGTGTGTGTGTGTATATGTGTGTGCGTGCGTGTGTGTGTGTGTGTGTGTGTGAGAGAGGTGCTCTGGCCCCAGGCTGCGGCCGCTGTGTGGGAGACATTTAGAGCAGGCGCTGGGACCCAGTGTTTGGCTCTGCAGAAGGTAACAAATGCTCGGGGCAATGCCTGCAAGGGCAAGTTAGTCTTTTTTTTTGTCTTTATGGTGAAGGCCACAAATCAGAAAGAAAATTCAAACCAGAATAACCCCAGTGCCCTCTCTTGAAGAGGGTGGCCCTGCTCCCATAGAGAGGTCAGTGCAGTGTGCAGCTGGACACCGGACCCCCAAACCCCACTGTCCTCAACCTCATACCTGGCCACTTCCAGTCTACAAAACCAATAGCATTTATTATTTCACAGGAATGCTTCACATAAAGAAGCTTGACATGCTTGCTTATTTTCTCAGTGGATTTGGATGCTTGTTTAGCTCACAAAAAGATGCTCCTCACACAGAGCTGTGGTGCTAGTTGTTATGCTAAAGGAATCTGACCTGATGTCACACAGTGTCACAGGAGCCAAGGCCTTTGGGCGTTTTGTCCACAGCGCTGCGCTCTGATTGGCTGTGTGTGTGTGTGTGGAGAGGAGCGGGTCGTGCCCTTAGAAGCTGCAGGCCAGAGGTGAAGTGTCGTCATGGAAGTATAGTTTGGGACAGAAAGGGCAAAGGCCTGCCCCGCTGCACTCTGCGGCCTGGGAAATCAATGTGACGCCTCTGAGCTTCAGAAATAGAGACAACTATTAAATTCATCTGCGCTACGAAGATTTCTGATGAATACATGACAAAAAGGTTAAGAACCTGTTGTGCCAGGTGATCTATTTAAAGAAGATACTACACAAAGTTTGCACTAAATAACAAGTGCCACCGTCCCATTAAAGGCTCTATTTCCTAAACCCGTGTTTGCTCCACAGGCTGTAATGTGGTTAGGGGTGTTACGGGCCATTGTGACTCACTGTAGTGTTCTGTCTCGTTTATTGGGCATTTTCCCCTCCGCTTGTTCATGTTAAGCACTTGTTTCCCTCTGATGAAATGGCTATTATTGTGATATTATGCCTGCTACGAGTTCCATATTAGGGGCAAAACAACCATAACAAGACAATTTGAGTGGAATAAATTTTCTTGTGAAATGTCATGGTGATTTTGGCTTTTGACTTGTGTGATGTACAATTTTACACCGCTGCTCCTGCTCGGTTACACACTGACTTGTGTGTTGAACGGTGTCAGTGTGTGAACATGGGTCACATACTGGGGAGGTTCTTAAGGCTTCAGATAATACTGATTAAGAAATGTTAAAGATGATAATCATTATGATTAAACTGAGACGTGGCGACGATGGCTGATGCCGGTGCTCTCTGCGGTGGAGGCGGCTCCTTGGCCGAGTGTGTTGTCAGTTTGTGGTGTGTCAGTGATGAGCCAGGGGAACGCTTGGCTGCCTATTGAGGCCGGTGTGGACCCCGCTGTGTCCAGGCGGCAGAGCTGCTGCAGGGCACGGTGCGGGAGAGAGGGGACACAGGGTGGGGGTCCGCCCTGCTGAGGTGTAGTGCTAAACCCTCTGGCAAATGTTAGATCTTCCCCCATCAGCAAGTGCGTCTGGTCCTCACATAAGTCAGAGCTACAGTGAGGCGTCTCACACATGAGGCAGCAGCAGCAGCAGGGAGCAACCCGCCTGCCGCCCACATGACCTTTTACCAAATCCCTCACTTTTCCATTCCAGTGGCTGCAGCCAGACACACCGGGGGCAGTTTCCTCACGTCTGTCTGTCCGACCCAGCTCAGGTTAGCCTCCCTCACTGACACCGCTGCCCCTGGCTCTGTGAAATCAACACGACAAATTGTTTCAGTCACAGAAACCAAAGAGAAATGCAGCGAAGTTCTGAGTCCAGATACTGTTTTGATGTTCCCCCTGTTGTCTGGTGGAGATATAAATATGATGTAACATGCATATTTTCAGACTTGAATCAAAACGTACAAATCCTATGAAACCACCAGTATTCATTTTTAACATGGCTTAGAAATGCTCCTTTAACATTGCCAGAATCTCCTAGAATCGGTTGATTTGATTTTGTTCAAATCAACCTATGCTTTGACTTCTCCCTCTTTCGAAATCTCTTGTCCCTTTAGTGCATTCTCGCTGTACAACATTTCTGGTGTGTTTCTCAAGTGTCAGCAGAGAGCGTATCCTATCTTATCCCAGCGTCACGCCGCAATATAGATTTCCTTGAAGCCCGGTGTGACCATTTAATATTAGCCTTCACACTTGGGTGACATAAGGTCGATTCCATGGCACCTCTATTATAGCAGTAAATTGGGTCAAACAGGGTCAGAGGCCAGTTCTCTCTGCAACCTCAAAGTCCATGACCAGCGGGGACCAGTGTGGTTCTGATCGCCTGTCCAGTGGAATGAATAATATATTACAGACATAAGTTGTGTAGTAAAAACACATATAATCTTCTGTTCTACTGTGAAACATTTAGTAGATATTGTGTGAGATATATGAACCACTTACTTTTGATGATTGCAGTCATAAGTTGTAAAAAAAAAATTCTTTCAACTATACATTCAATTTCACTGGTGGTTTTATTTTGGTGAAAAACGGGTCGGTTTTGTTATATATGTAGGTATTGGATCATGCTATTGTGACAGAATATCACATAAACACAAATGAAAACATGTTTTTAAATCAATCAATGTCTTTATTTCAGACACAAAAAAAGCTCCATATAAAAAAATGATGTAAGAGTTTTTAATCTTTTCTAAAAAAAAATCCTAAAAATAATAAACTGTTCAATCCCATCACCACCTTTTAAAAGCCAAAGCAATTTCCGAGTCTGACTTTTCCTGGTACTTACATGACAATAAAAATGATTGTGATTCTGCCTAATAATATCATATGTGAACGAGAGTAAAAGTATTCAGAGTATTCCGAACACAGTGCTCTGATTGGACCACGTAACAGGATACGTCACAATACTTTTTAAAGCAGCAACCAAATGCATTTTCAAAGTATTCTCCCCATCACTGTAGCACGTGTAATCTGTAATCTCATTTTTGCTGCTTTGTGAAATATTTTGTAGCTATTGATCATCAATCTATAATATCATTAATGTATAAAACTATTATTTTTTCATGCGCAAATTCTGTCTGATTTTGTTTAATTTTTTTCCAACTGTATATACTTCTTTTCCACTTGTGTCTTCACATGTGTATGAAGCAGAGGAGAGGGGAGGGGGAGGATGGCAGCAGGAAGTCTTTTGCCTGCAGTGCCTTTTCCTTTTTGGGAGGGAGGGGAGGGGAGGGGAGAGGGAGGGAGGGGAGGGGAGGGAGGGGAGGGGAGGGAGGGGAGGGAGGGAGGGAGGGGAGGGGAGGGGAGGGGGGGTTAGGGGGGAGGTAGTGTTGAATTAATTTCACAGAGCAGATTTCGTGTGGGATGTGACGATGACACTGGTTTAATTAAAAGTGTGTATTTTAAATGGCTCATCTGTATCAAATAAACCCAATAGCTTCCAGTTATTTCATAAAATCTTAATTAACCTCTTTTTTTTTTCTTCCCCCCCCCTCCTCTCTTTGTCTTTCTTTTACAGAATCGGAGCTGTCTTCCCAGAACAAGGCTGGCGCTGGTGGTCCCGGGGCAGCCTCGGGAGTGGGGGGAGGGGCCGGAGGGGGGTCCCACCTACAGTGCCTGTCTGTCCACTGCACTGACGAGCTCACGGGGGACACTAAAGCACGCGGAGGGCCCGTCACGTCGTGGAGATCGCTTCACTCAGATATCTCCAACCGCTTTGGGACGTTCGTGGCGGCTCTCACTTGAAGACGGGGGGAGGGGGGGGGGACAAATATTTTAAGGAAAAGCTTCAGCGTTGAAACGTGTGGAGGAAGCATGTTCTGGAGGAGATGGACACAACGCGACATAACCTTATTTCATTACGCAGCGCTGGACAATATGGGCTCTCCTCAACTACGGCCACATATGGGAAAACCTCAAACCATTTTTTTTATCTTTTAATTTTGTTTGAAGAAATTTGTGGAAAAGAGAAAGATGATTATTCAGATGTTATTGGCTTTGATTGTATATGAGTGTTGAGTCTTGTGGCCCATTTCTTTTTGGTTTCTCACTAACAGCTTGATCCCATGTAACGTGTACAAAAATCTTTTCAGTGAACTGCAAAAGGCCCGCTTACGTTTCCAGGGTAGAAATTGAAATGCTGAACGGAAAGACAGAAAAGTGGGGTGCATGAATGTAAATCTAAAGAAGAAAATCCATCGTTTTTGAACCCGCTAATGTTTTTGAATGAAATGTTTCTATTTCCATTTCCATCACTCAAACACTTATATACAAATAAACCAATGGTCACTGACAATGGCGGTTTAGCGATGTTTCATAAGGGAAGTGAAAAGACTATTGGTATTGCACATGTATAATAAAATAAAATTTGCTGTGTGTTAGGCAATCTTGTAATCTTTGAAATAAAGCTTCTGTTGAATTTCTGAAAACAATAGATGGAGGACTGTGACGGCAATTTACAAGCTGATTTTTTTTCTGTTTTCATTTTTTAAAATAATATGTAAAGTGCAGTCGTCTGTTTTCCTGCATATTGTATATATCTGTATATGTTTTATTGAGTAACTAAATAACAATAAATATGATGTTAAAGGTGGAGCTGCGTGGGTATGTGTAACAGAATAGACTTCTTCAAGGACTTGGCGTTGCACCCTTAGGATTCGCCCTGAAATATGAAGGGGCCCGCAGTTATTCCAAGTGACAGATATGACAGGGAAGTTGTGGAGTGACGCGCGCTGCCTGACAAGCATGCAAAACGGGCCGCCATATTAGACAGGGCGCCGAGCATCACAACACCACACTTTGTTAAAGCCCACAAGCTTACAAAGCCTGGAGGACATTTTAGATTCACAAATATCACAAAAAGACACTTGAAAGTAATGTAGTCATAGGTATATTAACAAAGCACTGAACTGAATCATAAGATTAAAAATGTGATATTTAAAAATTAAAAACATTTCCGTTTATTGCAGTTTGACTAAGATTTAAGGCCAGTGCTGAGAATAGAAACAAGAGGACTATAGTCTGTGATCTAATGTGTCGTCTCACATAGATGTTTAATTTTAGAATAAGGGTTTGGGTGTTTTATTATCACTGGTGTAATTGTGGAGGCCTTGGGACATCTTTTTATAATAATGTCTTCCCGTCAGAAGTGTCAATAATGTAAATCTTTGTTACAATAGGTAATAACATAATGTGCCATCAGCCTGGGATCTACTTTTGGTGCGTATTGATATCCCTGCGATGAGGTCACATATGGTATGAATGTTCAATGGGAGGTTCAGGACAGGTATGAGTTTAAGTAAAAGGATCATCTTGAGCTGCAAATTAAAAAAAGATAAATCCTCTTAAAATAACGACTGCTCCTATAATTTAGGAACATCCCTTTAATACACATTTCACCTCCAGATGTGACTTTTAATGTTTAAATTAATTTTATTTTCATTTCCATTGTCATACGTGGACATCTTTGGCGCATGTTATTGTCATTGTTCATTGATAGCTTTTCCTTTGCCATTATCATCATGTCCATGATGTGTGTTTTAGTTCTCCCCTTCTGTCTCACGTTACACTGCTGCATTGTTCCCCAGGCCCTCTTTGGCTCACCTGCTCTTTATTGGCCATCTGCATGGATGCTTAATGCTAATCAATACGTCCCCCGAGTGGCAGCTCTGAGGTGAGCTGTAGCTGCTGCTAACAGGCTGCAGTGATCAGAGCTGGGGGCCTCAGGCTGAGAGCTGCAGAAGTGTGGAGGAGCCGCTTCTCTCTGAACACAAGCATAAGAATAAAGTGTGAGACAAACTCAACCTGTTACAGCAGAGAAGAGATTATCATGCAACAAGAAACCAGATTATTATAGCAGGAAACAGTCTGATGTGACTTTACAGGAACTTCTGACCAACCATGAAACTCCGCCCCTTCTGTCTAAAAGCTCCTGTCTCAATCCTGTTATGAGGTAATGATGTACCACTATGACTCAATTAAATTCTTCACTCAATTCAACCATAAATCGCAACAGTAGTGTATCTCGAAGGACTTCACACTATTGTTGAATTCACCAACACAGATCAGAGAATCAAACACACGAAATAAAACAGAAAACACATTTGTATTGGTTCACAAGGTGCAGATGACCAATGTCCATGAGTGTTGATATGACATCACCCTCAGAGCAGGTTTCTGAATTTACAACTAAAGTATTGCCCCTGCTCAGTTTCTTTTCAATTGCATGGCCAGTATTTTTCTACTTTTGGCAGGGTAAAATACAAATTCTCTACAAAGTAGCATGCATGATTGTTTTATAATTCATTCTCTTAAGATATTCTTTCACATTCTAAAACATGAAATGACAATGTAAATAGTCATTGTTAATGGCCAAAAACATCATTTAGTGCAATGAACATGTGAAAGACTTTCCAACTACTGATGAATAGTTTTACAGATTGTCACAGCAGAGTTGACAGTGTTGGGATGATGGTTGTGCACAAAAGCTCAAGTGCGTTCCATTGTTGACTTGAAGTTAACCTGTCTGCATTGTTTGCTCATACCATTTTTCAGTCACAGCAACAGTGTGGATTTGGAACTACAGCATTTAGAGACTAAAGTAAAACACAATTGAATTTCTCACACTTCCAACAAATGAGAAACTCGTATTGTTATTAACTTGTTTTTGAATGTGGCAGCCCTTTTGAAACCATTTCTATACAACAGACTGAACCATTTAGTGTGTGAAAAGTGAAAAACATTTCCACAGAAAATGCCTGGTGTCTAGCCATAGCCGTGTGGGAACCGGCGCCAAAGAGGCCCTGGAATATTGGCTCCAGTCGAGATGTATGGTACTGGACCTTTTCCTTGAATGGACTACTCTGCATGTCGGCCATATTGGGAGAGCGAGGACTGTGTGGTCGCCTGAGAACTTGTGTGTTTCCCAGCCAACACGCATCTGAAGAATAACAATTTCTGCAGCCATGAAGACCATCCATGGAGCCTCAGGGGTTGTGGCCAGAGCAGCCGGCCAAACACTCTGCTCATGCAGCTTTCTATGTACTCCTATAAATACATCTCCTATTTGTATAGAGGCGATATGCATCTTTGGGAAAATACCACAATGTTGACACAAGAGCACCCTGATCACCCCCACCTCTGTCCACCTCCCCCACGACAACTCTCTCTACCCCTCTGAACCTTTCACTGGCCACTGTTAGATAAAGAGGCAGCGCAGAGAGAGGCTGGCTAAAAGAAGTGTCTCTGAGAGGCCTCCACGGTCTTTAAGCCACTATGGCATCCACCAGAGCCCTCACATATCCTGCCCTCTAAAGGCCCTTTGTCCCCTAAAGAGAGGGTTTGCTTAAATTGGGGGTGCTTGTGGACTGGCGGGTGGGTCCGGCCCTGTTGTAGAGCTGGCTCCCACGTCTCCATCACTGGTGCACTTTTAGTGAGGGAATTGTGAGGCGGGAGTGGCAGTGCACGGGGGGAATTGGAGGTTTTGGGGGAGAGGTTTGGAAATCTTCCAAACAGTGCCTTTTTGCTTTCAAAGAGCTCCACTTGTGTAAATGTGCTCTTTGTCCCTTTGCCTATTGTTTGAATAGCATTGTGGAGTTTTTTGTGGGAAGCTCACAGGGGCCTGGGGGGCCAGAGGGGCCAGAGAGGGACCAGCGGGCTCTGTCTGAATGACTTAGACCCAAGACAACAGGGCACCAAGGTACAATTAATGTGCACACACATTAATGTCCCAATACAAAAACATTTCCTCTTCAATATGCATCTCAGTTCTCAGTTTACCTAACAACAAGGCTGATGTATTATAAGATAAAACATGTCGGTCCTCTGCCCTGAGGTTAGCTGTGACCATGTTCTCTGAGTCATGAGTCTTCAGCGATTCATGATCTCCATCTGTCTGTCTCAAAGAGAGAGCAGGTGGAGAAGCTCGGCCTTTTACATACTGAAGCTGCTACGCTCACTTAGAAAGTACTCCGAACCAAGTGCAATTATAGCCCAGAATTTCTTATTTTATTTTATTTTATCTTAAATTTATTGTCTATTATCTTAAATAATAGACTTTGATGTGTGCAATCTGAGTGCTCTTATTTCCTTTCTCTGCTGTAATGTACAACGTTGACACTGAAATTTCTCCACTGTGAGACTAATAAAGGTTTATCTTATCTTATCTTATCTTAAAGAATTAATCAGTCATTGGGGCTTTGGTTCAAAGTTTATAAAAGCAGAGTTTAACCACCTCAGAGTTGGGGAACGATGTTTTCAGTACGTAGTGTGTCTACAACAATACAAACACATTTCTGCAACAGATGCACTGGGTTAGGTTGAGCTGTACACTTAAATCCGATGAGGTTAATCCAGTCAGGATAAATACACCTAAATCCCACTTCATGTTTGGACAGTGCCTTATAGTCCTCATGCATATCCCTGGCGTGGCCATGCAGCTCTAATTCAACATGCTCCAACTCTGTGAACTTTGTTAAGCGGAGTGTCCACTTGTGCCCTCTCCTCTACTGTCATCAGAGAGTCTCCTGTGACCTCCCCGCTGAAGTGTCCTGTGCAGCCCACTGAAGGTGATTGAGCATGGCACCCTGCTCCAGCTCTGTCCTGCTTTGTCAGGGGACGTGTGCCTGTGTCAGGGACCACAATTAGTGGGGCGCGTCCCCAGCCATTAATCACAGAACAGTCCAGATCCAGCTCCAGCTCAGGACCCCTCCACTGGTGCTCTGACAGCTCTATCATCATCCCATGGCCTATAGAGATGTGCATGTAGGGCCACGGACCAGTGCAAACTCAAAGCCCTTCATTGTCCAGCTTGTGTGTAGGGAACATTATTGTTGCCATGTTGTTACACTGTCTAAAAACGGACCTAAAAGTGGTATAATTAAGTGATATTGTTGAACATTATTTTTTGTAGAAAATAAGATTGCTCTACAGCAGTCTGAATTCCAATGTTCCTTATATTCCAGCACATTTTATGAGGCAACAAATGTGTCCTATAAAGTACATGATTAATGAATGCGTAAGTGACCATAGCCCAAGTTGTGGTGAACTTTTATTTGTATGTCAATGAGGGCAGATATAGGTTTGACCCTCACCTCTGTGTCAGGAGTAAGATGTGAAATATTTGTCATGAGACTATAAGTGATGAAACAAATCAAAGGATGATGCAGACGATAGTTCAGGCGCGGGCTGCTCACAGCTCCTTTGGGGAAATGGCAAAGGCATAAGTATGTATATATAGATAAAGTGATATGGGAGGAAGAGGAGATTTGTGATTCCCAGAAGCTGAGGGTGTCTCATGGGGGCCATTTTCTTTTAGTAAACAAAGCAAAATATGGCATCCGCCTTTTCTATACGGCTCTAATACTGTAAGGATATATAAAAGGACAATTTTATATCTATAATGATAGCTGTAATACTTCTAGTCACTTCTAGTGACTATGATCTAATATCAAACCCATAGTTTGAAGATTATGAGAACGCGTCAGTACTTTAGCAAAGTAAAAAAGTGGAACACTCTTTAAAAGTGAAATGAGAAAATCAAATACCAAAATATACGTAGACATTGTTGCTCAGGGGAACATGATGCTCTTGAGCGTCTGTAATTAAAAAAATAAGAGGACATTCCTCCTCATTTTTTCCATGATTCTTTTCTGTTTGGTGCGTGAAATGAATTATGTGCACAGACATTTTTCCATTTCTTCTTAGCTTGTCTGTTTTTCTCTTTCTTTCTTTCTTTGAAAAAATAACATAAACATGTTGCCAGATGGAGCCTCAGCTCTAATATAAAATCAATACACTGCGTCTAACTGAAGTAAGAGAGGTCAGACACGCCACAAATGCTAAAATACATTTTTCCTTTTTATCTTTCCACAACGCACAACTTTACGCATACTCTGATGCCAAATTTTCCCAGCAGCCCAGAGTCAACAAGGACATATTCTCGCACCCAATATGGAGAAAAGGTAGAGAAGGTAGCTCTAGTCTTTGAAGAGGGGCACACCGAGGGCTATTGAGAAACCATTAGGGTAATGATAATTGGAGCTGTGAATAAGCAATGAGAGAACAGAGGGAGGGGGCTCTGTGCATTTGTATGTGCTGTATGTGGGAGGAGGTCACATTACAGGCCCACTGTGACTGACTGACACATGTTGGATGGGAATGTAAGAAAGTACCTCTCAAAACTCAGTCAAGAGCAAGGTGGGAATAACTACTGCAGTCACTGATGAAGAACAAGCAACAAAGGACAATTCCTGATGATGCATCAGTATAATCATAAATACAGAGAAGTGTTATTCCCGCTGAGCAAACACACAGGTTTTATGCCTTTTTATTTTTTGTCAAATTGTGTAAGGTGGGGACACTATGGCCAAATATGGCTGTAATTTAGAATAAAAGTAAACTGTTTTATAGCCAGTCGCTTACATTTGGGTCAGTGGAAGAGGGTTAAAAAAACTATACCAGGGCCTTGTTATAACAACAGCGTAACAAGCCATTACTGTTAAATTTTGGATGTTTGAATGTATGTTTGAAGAAGTCTGTATTTCTGCACATATATGATAAACCTGCAATAGTCCTGATGAGTGCACTGCGTTGTAACTTTAGAAAACTGATTTCAATTTAAGCTATATATCCTCTAAATCTATTGTACATCTTTTAGTGGTAGGGAAAACCAGGGCACCCGGAGCACCCAGAGGAAACCTATACACAGCCACGGGGAGAACATGAAAACTCCAATCAGAAAGGTCCTGCTCCGACCGGGATTCAAACTCAGGACCTTCTTGCTGAGAGTGCTAACCACACAGGGGCCGTGGCACCCATGTGAAAGTCTAAAGTTTGTTTTGACCGTTTATTTTGACGGACAACTCACCTCCGTTTCCCACTGGAATCCCAAAAGCATGTGTAAGAGCCTATATATACAGTATACTGCACACTGTATAGGAAATATGAATCAAATACAAATACTGAATACATTCTTGAGCATTCATAAGTTTGGGAGAAAAATATTCCCCCTAAGAATCCTCTCATTAGTTGACCATAACGAATAGTTTTGTTGGTTTTGTGAGTGTGTAAGAGGTTAGAGCGATAGTTTGATAGCGGAGCCTCCCCCGCTGATGGGGCCTGCTTGCTGCGTGACAGATAGCCTGGGGAAAGGGGGACACCGGGCTGTTTAGCTGATAATTAAGGGGGTTTTATCTTAATTTGAGCTGTTCCTCTCTATCCTCTGGTGTGATTTATGAGCGTGTGGCGTGGCCCTGCTCCTCGGCTCTGCCCCTTAGCACAAGAACAAGACAAAGAATCCTCTCTGTTCTGTACACAACACATTACACCACAGGACGTCAGAATGGGCACATGATCACAAGGCCAGAGTGTAAGATACAAATCGACTTGGAGCAATGGGTTTAAATACTATCTGATCACAATCTGCGTGCGCACAATTTGTGATGCGTCCAAGGTGCTTCAAAGAATATACTATGGCACGAGTCGGCTATTGAGAAATCTGTATTTGTAAAATGCATATATGACAGAAAAGACTACAAAACAATACTTACACCATTTGGGAAAGGGACTTCAGGCAATCCGATTATAATGAGCTTCGACACAGCTTGCTAAGTGTAGTAATTGTTGCTAAGGGGAAAGGAAATAATAATAAATACAGAGAGGGAAATACTTGGGAAACATCCAATAAAGAGGATAGGACCAATTGAATAATTTCCTAATATGTCTCTAACGCAGGCAGATTTATGTTCTGCAGTCGTAAATCCCCACGTAAGATCTCTGTGAACAGCCAAAGATCATAAAAGCATTAAACACTTATGTTATCTGCCTGCATTAATCCACTATATTCTCTATAGTGATGAATCATTGGGACCCCTCTGATTGAATGAATGCTCAGAGGGGTATAGGGTTCCTGCTGTAGGTGGAGTGTCCGCAGGCAAAGGTGAACTGGATCTGGAGTTGGGTGGGGACTGGGCTGAAGAAGAGGCAGGGCGGAGGAGTGCACGGGCTGCGCGGGCGAACAATACACGCCACTGTTCTGTACCTATCACCCCCAGGTCAAAGAGGAGGAGCCTCTGCTGCAACCTCATCTGCTCCTCTGGCCCCTCACATAAAGGCCGGGGAATTCTGCAGCGGCCGGCTCGGATGTTGTTTTTACCCAGATCGTAGCTTGCTCTTTTAGGCCAGGCATGTTTCAAACTGCACGGTAATAATCCCACAGGTATTTGGCTGCAGGGAGGGACCTTCACACCTCAGACACAGCTGAGGGAGACAGAAGTGAACGCATTCTTGCAGGTGTGCGAGGCGCCATGTGCCTCCATGTCTTTGACTTTGGTTTTGTTAGTGCTTCCTGTAGAACCACATTCAGACAATACCTCCATTGGTAGCAACAATGTAAATGGTTGTCAAAACAAAGCAGAACGACTTAAAATATTGTGAGAAACCTGTTTCCTTTAGTGCTCACGCATGCTGCTTTCTCTTCTTCAATCATTCAATCTCATTGAGACACTTTTTATCCAACTCCACAAACCTAACTCATATAATTCCTCCTGATGTTTCCACAGAAATGTCTCCTGTACTCTGCTGTGTGGCGTTGCCTGGGTATGTACAAGTATCACCAATAAACATGTCTTCTGCAGACACGCTCCTGACACAACATTCCTGTCTCCATGGAGATTTTAGACTTTATTTCAATGGAAGCATGAGAGTTGCCACAAGAAAGTTGCATAGTGTTGCTTTAATAGAAGAAAACAGCAAAATTGTAATCATTACATTAATGAAAGCAATAGTAAACATTTGAAAAATGCTCCAATCACCCCTGGATGCTTTCCGTTGACCTTTGCCCTCCTTGAATCAGAAAGCTGTTTGTGTTTCCAAAAGGTTCCTCCTGCTTCGCTCTTATCTCTGTGCCGGCACAGGGGGGAGTGGCCGGGGGGGTGGAAATAGAGTTTTCATCCAAACACAATCTTCTCAGAGCCCCTAACTTCTCCTCTCTCCATCTGGGCTCTTAACTTTCACCCCTGACCCGCCACACCCTTCGGTGCACCGCAGCGACAACAAAAGCAGCAGATTAGGGAAATCAACAGGCTGTAGGGGATTACTGTAGAGGCCTTTTCATCTCACAGTTGACACAGTCTGTTAGCAGTGCTTCACCTTAATCTGACTGAGGGTTACTTTTTTGTTTGTTTACCTCTGTTAGTCATGGTTTATGCATAGAGACTTCATAGTAGCAAAAGGCTCAATCCCAAAATGACAGACAGCATCACTTTCATGTCCCACCGGTCGTTTTACAAGGCTTAGACACATAAACACGCAAGGCCGCAGCTATGGCCGATAGTTGAGCGGGAGGAAATGTTGACATGCTGTATGCGCCTCTTCCTGCCGAGTTCAACTGTCTCTGTAATGAGAGGTCACAGGCAGGCAGGAAGTGGAGAGCCCAACAGGAAGTGCAGGGATGAGTGACATACGACCGCGGAGCGACATGGTTTAAGTAGATGCTAAGTGGCAGTGGTTGGATTGTGATCGTCTGAAGTGGAGGTGGAAGGATGGTTCTGATCGTTTCCTTCAATGTATGGGGTAAACGTATATGTGGATGTTTATTGAACTGGATTGTTTTAGTACTGCCGAGGTCAGGTTGACATGGCCTACATTCCACATGACAAGATACTCAGGACTCAGAGAGGCGCCGGACAATCAGCTGTTTCATAGTTATAATTGGCAACGTGGCCTCATGGGTATTATGTGATCTACATGTTTTGTAAATTCTGATGTCTTCATATGTCACTACCAAACACGTCTTTTTGCATCTAGAAGTATGTTTGGCATGTCTTCAGTCCACATGACAAGCATGTGAAACCCGGATCCAGTCAGATCTCAGAAGCTAAGCAGGGCAGGGCCTAGTTAGTCCTGTGATGAGAGACCTCTTGGAACGCCAGGTGCCACAGTGGGGCAGCTGTAAAGTGACTGCCACTGTGTCCTAACACTAGACACTTACTTCCCCAAAAAGTCTAGTCTGTATATGAAAGGTTGGTAGAGGTCGGAGGAGTTGGTGTCATAGATTAGTTGCCTCTCTTTCACCAATCTGCCCCAGGGCAGCAGTGCCACCGCAGTAGTTTACCACCAAAGTGTATGGAGTGAATGAGGAAAGCCATGAGAAGCATTATTTGGGTACGAAGTGCCATATAAGTGAAGGACAGACGAACAGAGGCATCAGACTGTGTCACAGACAACATTCCACTTTTTCTCTGAGTATAAAAACATGGGATTGCTGTGAAAACTCTGATCATTTTTGGTGTCGATACATTTGATCATTGCATAATTTGTAATTTTCTCCAATCTAGAGTTTAAACTCAAAACAATAGACAAAATCATGCAGTGAATGGTGTTCTGACCAAACAGAGATCTGGAGACGGCACCCATCGATCCTGACATGTTTCTCCAGTGACACTAAAAGGATGGGTCAAATACAAAGAACACATTTCCCAATAAGGATAATTAAGTGTTAAGTAAAGATTAAGATCCACTGATCTGCAGCTTGAGCGTTTTATGGCGTTGCTGCACCATGTTTCTTTGTGACACTTGTTGACTAATTCCCATTATCACAGGAGGCTCCACCACAACTTCTGAGTATTTTTCAACCAATATTCATGAGGAAAGATTTGGCCAATTTCCTGCATCTTCATGTAACATTTTCCAATTCATTTGTTGGCCTGATCCTGAACTATGGACCCTCTTGAGACAGTGCTAAGCCGTTTAGCTGCTAATGCCTACAACAAACAGAGTGTCAGCGCTGGCCCTGGTGCACAGTGCAGTGAGCCGCAGAGCCGGAGCAGGGCCTCCCTCTGTAATCGCCCTGTGCCCATCTGCCCTGCACTCACACACAGACAGCACGGCTCCTCCACGGGGGACTAAAGGCACACACAGGGACACAGATGCCCACTGACACCGGACCATTCATCCTGTTTAAGCCCCAGCACAGCCACTTCACTTCTAAGTAAATCATTTAAGGCACAATAGAGGCAAGAATTTATCAAGGTTTCTCACTTTTTCCCACTGGGTTTTTTAAGAGTTTTTCCTTGTGTATTGTATCATTAGAAAAAAAAATCTCACTCATATTTTATATCTGGATCACATGAAAGGTACAATAGAATGGAGTATTCATACGGATATTTTAAAAACTGTAGTGTTTACATGTTAATTTCAATGTGTCTTACTGCTTGTGTTTAATGTGAAAAAGAAAAATCCAGAACCTTTTTCCTACTAAGAATAATCCAGAAGGCATGATTTCTGTGACGCCATGCCGAGACCCACATAAGGACTAAATAATGTAATATAACTGTATTGTTTTGCAACTGATAAGCATTGAATAATAGTAATCACTGTTAACTAAATAACTGCATCAGACTCTGGAATGTTTTTTGGGTTACGGTATGTGGGAATTAGATAGCTATAAAGTGATCTGGCCTTAGGTCACAACGACCCGATTGTGTATCTGCTATGATTGTGTGTCCATGTTTTGTTCTTTCGATGTCTTGTTATGTTCTGATTGTTCTCTTGATGTGACACGAATGCTTTATCCATGTATGACGTATGTGTGACGTAAACGTTGACTATATAGACCATATCCTGATTATGTTCTGTCTGAAAAAAACCTGAAAAACCTGAAAGAACTGAAGAAACTGAGAATAAACTTCCGAGCTCTGGTGCGCAAAGATCCCGTCTCTGTGTGCTTGATTATTTTTTTCAAGTATAACAACTTTTGGATTTTGGACACATTTCTTGTAATGTAGTAGATATATATTGTATTATTTTTAATTACAAATTATAGAAACTGCATAGGGCCAAACCAAAACCAAGAGCACCTACTCAGAGTACAGAGCATGTCAAGTGTATTTTAATATCCCATTGTCCAGTAGAAACCATTACGTTTAGACTCTAGTCCCCAGAGTCAGAAATAAACATGGGGAGCCAGCATTTAAGGTTCATGCAGCTAAAATCTGCAACGCTCTTTCTGAAAATGTGAGACAGGCTTCTTCTCTGGCAATGTGCAAATCCAGATGAAAAACACTTCGGTTTAGCTGTGCATACAACTGAGGGATTTTATCTGTTAGTCTTTGTGCTATGGAAATAACCTTGCCTTGCCTAAGAGACGACAGCTAAACTCTCCTGGTATATCTGAATATACCGTTAATTAGGTGAACTTTTGAGGACACATTAATGACACAGGACCTGATTCTGATAAGTGTTTTGGAGCATGCATAAATAATCGTGCAGATGTAACAGTGAGTGCTCATATATTTATGATGTTGAGACATTTAATTTGCCACAGCCTGGTGCGTGTGCAAAGAGGCGTCTCAGTAGATGTGCTGTCACCACCCTCTCACTCCGCCTCCCTTTACCTCCAGCATTCCTTCTCCTTTACAAATCCTTCACTTTTCCGAAGCCTCCCCTGCCCCCCATGCTGCGCCCCATGCTGAGGCTAATTTTAGCTTCTTCCCTGGATCCTATAGCATCCAGCTGGAGGTAACTGCTTGGCTTGAAGAGCATCCCTGGTAGACATGCTTCACAGAGGGCTGCATGCACCACTCCTCCGGGGATGTGATAGGTGTGCGCCTGACGTGGAAAGGTGTGGGCTGAGGAATGCTCTTTAACCGTGTCAGGGCTGCCATGGTAACAAGATCTTCTACTTTCTTTGTTTATGTTTCCCCTCCGCCACTCGCCCTCTTCACTAACCACGGCTTTGGAAGGCAGCTCGCAGGTGATAGGTTAACAATGATCCCTGGTGGTCTATTAGAAAAGTTACGTGATGAAGGTGGTGGCAGCCAGCCTCTCTCTGCAAATGAGACGCATGCATACAAAAACAGTCAGCTAATCTGAAAAAAGTTTTCATCTGAGAAACTTCTGATTTTCAGTCTCTTTTGGGCACACTTTCTATTGATGATATGCCAAAAGTTAATTTCAGAATAAGCTCTGTAAATGCCATTGAAGTACAGTATATAGGAATGGCCAATGCTAACCTGCTAGCTCTTTGAAGCCAAATATGGAAGTGATCATCTGTCTCCAGAACTGCTTTGGCTAGCGATAGCACATGCGGGAACAGACACAGATTGAAGAACCAGATTTGTATTTGCTCTTTGGTTGCTAGGTGGTTGCAAGCCACCAATTTAACTCCAGATTCACACCCATTGATCTTGTTGGAGTTAGCTCTAATCAGCTTCTTCCGCAATAGGGTAAACACTCTGGGTGACATCAACACTGGGTTGGTCCACACTCTATCGCTCTATGGTAAATGATAACGCCTTTATTTGACACTATAGATAGAAGAGTAAATTACCAAATAAAAGTATAAATGAGTTTCCGAACACACACCAGTTTTCTAAAGCCTGGCCTTTGTCATGCCTAAACTTCGGTCAATTATTATTTCCCTAAATGTACGTCTGGGTCTGATCCTAGTGGCTGCAGTTGTAAGCCATCTGTGTTGTAGGAAGGTGTCGGTGAGTTCAAGAGATTGCGCTGAATTGGATGGTTGTAGTTTGGCAATGCCGGCGAATACTGTAGTAAAGTAATCCGTTCTGGTTCGGCTCCAAATATCAAGAAATTGAAAGAGGAGCAAGAGGAACGTTTAGCAAGTTTCATTGCTGGCAAAGATGTTGTGGTTAGTGGTTAAGGAGATGGCTAGGCTAAATACTAAATGCTAGCTCACTCGGGAGCATTACATACGTCATGGTAAACTCAGATCCAATCGTTTCAATCTGCAAAAGGAGTTAACCCCTCCAACCTGTTAACGGAGCTCAATGGAGCAAATCCAGACCTTAGGACAAAATGAAATGAGTACGATGGTGTGGTAAGACCAGCCTAGTTTTATTCTGAAAAGCCTTAAAAAGAAGTACACTGAAAATAGTATTGCTCGATTTAAAGTGAAGTCATTGGATATCTAAGAAATTGATGCTGAAATAGTTACTAAAAAGGCTGAATTGTTAAAATGAAACCAAATAAAATCAGAATTTTTGACAGGTTTAATTGCAATAGTCTTTTATATAATGTGGATTATATACAAATACAGTAACGCTGAAGTAGGCACTGAGCAGTAGTAAGTTAATGTTGGAATCACAATCTTTTCTATGTCTCCTCCGTGGCCTGTAATTGAAACTGGAAACGTTTAAACAGCGTACAATGCTTTTGACGACCGCTCAGCCGTCTATAAAACACTACAGCACAAAGTTACAGAACAAACTGGGAAAAGTCTCACTTTGTCATGTGTCCACATGGATTTGTTTTCTTCTGCTTGTTGTTTTTGTCCAGGCTTTTGGGGCCAAATCCTCACATGTAGGCGTTCATTCAACTGCTCTAACAAGCCTACTGGGGCATGAGCGAGCTCTCCCTGGGACATGAATCGGACCTGGCCAAGGGCACCAATCACATCCAGAGATGAAGAGGGAGCCTGACAGCAGCGGCGGCAGCATTTCCTCCTCCCCATTGCTCCTTGGCGAGTTCCCGTATACACTTGCAATGGGAGCTCCTGGTTGGCTTGTTAAAATAAATCTCCATGCTTGTACAGTACGGGACAGTGGTATCTCCGCTCCAGTGCTGCTCTGAGGACCGAGGGGTCAGCGAGTGTGTTTGGACAGAGTGAGGATGTGATTCATCATGTGGTGGTCAGACAAACTCAACAGGCATAACCACAGACAGCCACAGCTCAGGCCATCTGAGACCAAGCGGAGGCCGCCCTCAGCACCCAGGAGAGGCGCCAGGCGCTGTCATTGTACAAGCATGTTTTGTACATTCAGAGTAGACAGAAGGGGTGACTTTTACTTGTAGTGTTGTAGATAAGTAGTGTTTTTCAGTTATCTCATTGCTGAACATTGTACAGCACTTTGGGTGACCTTGTTCTGTAAAATCCATCCATCCATCCATCCATTTTCTTCCGCTTTATCCGTTGCCGGGTCGCGGGGGCAGCAGTCTAAGCAGAGACGCCCAGACTTCCCTATCCACACACACTTCCTCCAGCTCGTCCGGGGGGACCCCAAGGCGTTCCCAGGCCAGCTGAGAGACATAGTCCCTCCAGCGTGTCCTGGGTCTTCCGCGGGGCCTCCTCCCGGTGGGGCGTGCCCGGAACACCTCCCCAGGGAGGCGTCCAGGAAGCATCCGGAACAGATGCCCGAGCCACCTCAACTGGTTCCTCTCGACGTGGAGAAGCAGCGGTTCTACTCCGAGCTCCTCCCGTGTGACTGAGCTCCTCACCCTATCTCTAAGGGAGCGCCCAGCCACTCTGCGGAGGAAGCTCATTTCGACCGCTTTTATCCGCGATCTCGTTCTTTCGGTCATTACCCAAAGCTCATGACCATAGGTGAGGGAGGGAACGAAGATTGACCGGTAAATCGAGAGCTTTGCCTTTCGGCTCAGCTCCCTCTTCACCACAACGGTCCGATACAGCGACCGCATAACTGCGCACGCTGCACCGATCCGCCTGTCAATCTCACGCTCCATTCTTCCCTCACTCGTGAACAAGACCCCGAGATACTTGAACTCCTCCACTTGAGGAAGGACCTCTCCACCCACCTGCAGAGGGCAAGGCACCTTTTTCCGGTCGAGCACCATGGCCTCGGATTTGGAGGTGCTGATTCTCATCCCAGCCGCTTCACACTCGGCTGCAAACCGTCCCAGTGCATGCTGCAGGTCCTGGTTCGTTGGAGCCAACAGGACAACATCGTCCGCAAACAGCAGAGATGAAATCCTGTGGTCTCCGAACCGGACCCCCTCCGACCCCTGGCTGCGCCTAGATATTCTGTCCATAAATACAGTGAACAGAACCGGTGACAAAGGGCAGCCCTGTCGGAGGCCAACATTCACCGGGAACAGGTCTGACTTACTGCCGGCAATGCGAACACAGCTCTGGCTCCGGTCATACAGGGATCGGATGGCCCTCAGCAGAGGACCTCCGACCCCGTACTCCCGGAGAACCCCCAGAAGGACACCCCGGGGAACACAGTCGAACGCCTTCTCCAAATCCACAAAGCACAGGTGGACAGGTTGGGCGAACTCCCATGAACCCTCGAGTATCCGATGGAGAGTATAGAGCTGGTCCAGTGTTCCGCGACCGGGACGAAAACCACACTGCTCCTCCTGGATCCGAGATTCGACCATCGGCCGTAACCTCCTCTCCAGTACCTTGGAGTAGACCTTACCGGGGAGGCTGAGGAGTGTGATCCCACGATAATTGGAACACACCCTCCGGTCCCCCTTCTTGTAGAGAGGGACCACCACCCCGGTCTGCCACTCCATTGGCACTGCCCCCGATCGCCACGCGATGTTGCAGAGACGTGTCAGCCAAGACAGTCCTACAACATCCAGAGACTTTAGATAATCAGGGCGGATCTCATCCACACCCGGAGCCTTGCCACCATGGAGGCTACCAACCACCTTGGTGACCTCAGCCAGGGAGATGGATGTACCCGCCCCAACATCCTCAGCCTCTGCCTCTGTAACAGAGGACGTGACGGGGGGATTGAGGAGAACCTCAAAGTATTCCTTCCACCGCCCGACAATATCCCCAGTCGAGGTCAGCAGCTCTCCACCCGCACCGTACATGGTGTTGGCAAAGAACTGCTTCCCCCTCCTGAGGCGCCGGATGGTTTGCCAGAATCTCTTCGAGGCCGACCGATAGTCATGCTCCATGGACTCTCCGAACTCCTCCCAGTCCCGGGTTTTTGCCTCTGCAACAGCCCGGGCCGCGGCACGCTTGGCCTGCCGGTACTGGACAGCTGCCTCAGGAGTCCCCCGAACCATCATGGCTCGATAGGACTCCTTCTTCAGCCTGACAGCATCCCTTACTGCCGGTGTCCACCACCGGGTTCGGGGGTTGCCGCCGGGACCAGCACCAGAGACCTTGCGACCACAGCTACGAGCCGCCGCATCGGCGATTGAGGCAGAGAACATGGTCCACTCGGACTCCATGTCCCCCTCCTCCGCCAGGACCTGGGAGAAGCTCTCCCGGAGGTGTGAGTTGAAAGTCCGTCTGACAGGGGGCTCAGCGAGACGTTCCCAGCAGACCCTCACTATACGCTTGGGTCTGCCAGGTCTGACCGGCTTCTTCCCCTGCCAGCGGATCCAACTCACGACCAGGTGATGATCGGTTGACAGCTCCGCCCCTCTCTTTACCCGAGTGTCCGAGACACGCGGTCGAAGGTCAGATGATACGACAACAAAGTCAATCATCGACCTCCGGCCTAGGGTGTCCTGGTGCCACGTGCACTGGTGGACGCCCTTGTGCTCGAACATGGTGTTCGTGATGGACAAACCGCGACTGGCACAGAAGTCCAACAACTGAGCACCGCTCGGGTTCAGATCAGGGGGGCCGCTCTTCCCGATCACCCCTCTCCAAGTGTCACTGGCGTTTCCCACATGGGCGTTGAAGTCCCCCAGGAGAATAACGGAGTCCCCGGGCGGTGCACCGTCCAGTACCCCTCCCAAGGACTCCAAGAAGGCCGGGTACTCTACACTGCTGTTAGGCCCGTAGGCCGTCACAACAATACAATACACAATACAATTTATTCTTGTATAGCCCTAGGTCACAACAGAAGTCATCTCAGAGGACTTAACAAAACCATTGAAATCACCAACACAGGTCAGAGAATCAACAGTTAAAACACATGAAGAATATAAAGCACACACAGAAGAAAATGTCCATACATGTTGTAGAATGCTAAAGTGTCCTGATCATCACCAATCCTTTCTGTTGGACACTAACTGTCCAACAAGACCCTCCTGCATCGACAAGGAAAAACTCTTAAAAAACCCAGTGGGAAAAAGTGAGAAACCTTGGAGGAGAACTAGGGAAACCCACAGGGAGGGAGACCCATATGAGAAAGGGATCCGCTCCTCCGGACGGACAGGCTAATGATCTAGGACCTAAGCTAGCTACAGAACGTGGACCAGTGGCCGCTGAACGTGGACAGATCCGGTGCAGGACTGAAGCACTCCCAGGCGGGTCGGGCGGGGCAGTCCGCAGGTGTAGATGGAAGAGGCCAGGCTCAGAGATCCCATCATCGTACCATGAAACAGACAATGGGACAACGGGTGAATAGCAATGAACAAACTACAGTCAGAATCCTACAAATGCTAAACAGATAAAGTAGGAAGGAGGAGAGGATAGTGCTCAAGTTACCATACTTCTCCCAGCAAACTGACTCCCTATGCAGCTTGACTAACACTCTGAGGAGTTTAACCTTCTCCGAGTCTTACCTTCCTAGCCATATGCTAAACTATAGAGGACTGTTTTAAACCTAGCCTTGAATAAAGAATAACATACAGCATAATATATAACATAATATACAACATAACACAATACATTATTGAATAATATATAACATAATATATAACATAATACAGCATATATATATAATATATACACTACATATTATATATTACCTAATTATATGCTAAATTAAAGTAAAGTGCTTTAAGCCTAGCCTTGAATGTGGAGACCGTATCTGCTTCCTTAACATAAATGGGAAGCTGATTCCACAGTAAAGGAGCTTGGTAGCTAAATGCTCTGCCACCAACAGTGACCTTTGAGACCTTAGGGACCACCAGACGTCTGGCGTTTTGTGAGCGCAACGCTCGACCTGGTTGATACGACACTAACGTGTCTTGGAGATAAGAAGGAGCCAAGCCATTTATGGCTTTATATGTTAAGAGTAGGATTTTAAACTTTATTCTGTACTCCACAGGGAGCCAGTGGAGTGATTTTAACACCGGAGTTATGTGCTCCCTCCTTTTGGTACCTGTTAAGATCCTAGCTGCTGTATTCTGAACGAGCTGGAAGGTCTTCAAAGAGGCTTTAGGGCACGCTGCCAGTAAAGCGTTACAGTGAGACAGTGAACAATGAGAGACTTGTCCCCCACCCGGAGGCGGAGGGACGCGACCCTCTCATTCACCGGGGAGAACTCCAACACGTGGCGGCTGAGATGGGGGGCAATGAGAATGGCCACCCCAGCTCGCCGCCTCTCCCCGCGGGAAACTCCAGAAAAGTGGAGCGTCCAACCCCTCTCAAGGAGTTGGGTTCCAGAGCCCAAGCTGTGTGTGGAGGTGAGGCCGACTATCTCTAGTAGGTATCGCTCAACCTCCCCCACGAGCTCGGGCTCCTTCCCCCCCAGTGAGGTGACGTTCCACGTCCCAAGAGCCAGATGTTGTGTGTGCGGACTGGGTCGCCGAGGTCTCCGCCTTCGACTGCCGCCCAGTCCTCTCTGCACCGCTTCACCACGGACCCCTCTGCAGGTGGTGGGCCCACAGGAGGGACTGCCCACGTCATCCCTTCGGGCTGAGCCCGGCCGGGCCCCGTGGGCTAAGGCCCGGCCACCAGGCGCTCGCATACGGGCCCCAACCCCAGGCCTGGCTCCAGGGTGGGGCCCCGGCTGCGCCATGCCGGGCGACGTCACTGTTTTCGTGTTAGTGCTGTCCATGGTGTCTTCTGGACTG